TAAATAAAGTACATTTCTCAGTTATAGTAAATTTTGTCTTCTAATGCATTTGTATAGAACTCACTCCTTCAGCTTCAGCAAGAATGTGTTATGTGTTATTCGTTTATATGTTATATGAAGGGAATTATGTCTAAACATAATGAATTAACACTTTTTATTTGTTTTTGTTTTTATTTAAACAGATTCTTCTGCCTATTCCAATTATATGATGGATGTAGAGAAGTGCCCCCTTTGGAAGCTGGTTTCAGATGGTGGCTTAGAATAATGTCATCTGTCTAGCACCATTTGAAATCAGTGTTCTTTGGGTGGGAAATGTTTCGCTGCACTGCAAGAATCATCAACAGGTGGTGTGACAGGTAATTAAATGTCAAAAAAGAGCATTAAACTGTGAGAAAGTCAGTCCTTAATGAACATAAATTATTTAAGCCACAAGCGTCTGTCTATCGGGATGTTTTTGGATTGTCAAGCCCCTTTGTCCTCTTTCCAAGGTTGACCGATTTCTTTTGGTGTTCAGAGTCCATTTCTCTTTCTAGCACCATTTGAAATCGGTTACAGTGAAGGACAGATCTCATCTCAGAATTGAGGAGGAAACTAAGCACCATTGTGGCCCTTCCTGGTTGAGTGAAACGTTGACATCAAGGTTTTAAAATAAGAAACGCATTATTGTCTTGTGTGTTTATTTTATTAAAACTTTATTCAACATTTTGAATTTTGGAACATCTTGTAACAAAATTTACATTTTAATAAACAGAAGATAACTGGTTACGTTACTTGAAAATAATTATCTAAATGACAAGCAATGCTTCTATTTATCCACTAGAGGGCAGTATAATGTTGCAATAGTGGAGCTTATGAATATATAAATGATTTTAAATTGGAAAACCTGATCAAACTATTTTAGTGTATGAAAGTAATAAAGTAATTATTTTCTCAGCTTTTTTTTTTTGTTTGTTTTGTTATATTGCTGTCCTTTTTTTGGAAGATAAGATTAAAATATAAATGGTTTAAACAAGTGTTTAGTTTACTTAATATGGTTGTAAAAAAAAAAATTTAAAAAGTTATATAGGATGTTTTACCATGTCATGAGTAGATGTAACAACAGTTCCTGTTAATATAAAACTGACCACAAAACTACTTAAAATTTATTCATTAGTTTGACTTCAAAATAATTAATCAGTTGGCCATGCTTTATCAATGCCTTTTACAACTGTGTGTTTATGTGTTGAGGAGGATGCAGCAAATAATCTTATTATCTTAGAAATAAAAATGTATTTGAATAAAGTGTCAGTAATGGAGTTACATTAGGTACAACAAAATACTTGTTACTATAAGGTTGGACTATTGTAGTTCTTTACAATCATTAAGTCTAAAAACTGTAGTTGAAAGCCTTCAGCTGATCCAAAATGCTGCAGCCAGAGTTATTATGAAAATTAAAAAGAGAGATCATATCTCTCCTATCTTTGCTTCTCTTCATCGACTTCCTGTTAAATCTAGATTAAAATTTAAAAATTCACTTTATTTATATAGCGCCAATTCACAACACATCTCAAGGCACTTTACTATTTATCAGATCATACAGTCACATTGATTCAAAGATTTCTATCTAAGGAAAACCAGTTGATTTCATCCACTCATTGTCTCGCATGCAATCCCTCACACTAAGCATGCTTGTAGTGACAGTGGAGAGGAAAAACTTCCTTTTTACAGGAAGAAACCTCCAGCAGAACCAGGCTCAGTGTGAGCGGCCATCTGCAGAGGCCAACTGGCGTTCAAGGAGACAGAAGATGAGATATAAATAAAAAATAAACTTCAAAAGCCGTCCCCGTCCAGGAAACACACAGCCAGGCAGATGAGCTCCGAGCCAACTCCTATGTCAGAGGATGAAGAGAGCAAACTCAGCCAGTCATAGTCAGAGAAACAGGACTACACTGGAACAAATGTTTGGCTGTGACACCATCCGTGAGAGAAATATCAGCTGTGCTGCTGCCATTACCTTTGTTTATAGATGTTGGAGCTTGGCCTGTTTTCTTGTGTAGTCCTGTTTCTCTGACTGTGACTGGCTGAGTATGCTCTATTTCATCCTCTGACATGGGAGCTGGCTCGGAGCTCATCTCTCTGGCTGTGTGTTTCCTGGATGGGGGCCGCCTGTGTAGCTGGCTGTCAGTTATTTTTATCACTGCTTCTTTCTGTATGTCTGCTTCTGTCTGCAGATGGCCACATACTCTGAGCCTGGTTCTGCTGGAGGTTTGTTCCTGTTAAAAGTGGGGTTTTCTCCCCACTGTCACTCCATGCTTGGTGTGAGGGAATGCTTTTGAGTCAATGAGTCGATGTAATCAGCTGGTTTTCATGAGGTAGAAAACTTTGAACCAATCTGACTGTATGATCTGGTTTAATTGTCTTTGTAAAGTGTCTTTAGGTGACATATGTTGTGAAATGTCGCTTAATAAATAAACTGAATTTAATTACTAACAATTGATTAAATAAAAGTTAATTGTCCCATCCTCCTACCTTACATCAAGTTAAATCTGTAAAATGTGCAGATAACCCATACTCTGAGCCTACATCATTCCAGGGGCACAAAAAGTCATAAAGAGGGAGAAGGTATATTAATTGGTTAGATAAAATGAAACTATGGGTAAGCAGGAAAGGATTGCCTGTGTAAATTCTTAGTCATCCAGGTCATTACATCCTCAAAACAGTGTTAAACTGTGAGGCAACCGGACTTTGGTTCACTTTTTCTTTTGAAGACATTTCGACACCACAGGATAGGTGTTGAAATGTCTTCAGAAAGAAATTGCTGAAGTCTGGATGCCTTCAAATTTCACCTTTAATAAGAGACACAAGTTTATAATATCAAGTGACTCATGCTAGTGTAAATTATTCACTTTTCCATGATCAGAAGCTGCAACATTTATAAAGCACTTTTTTTTAAACCATTTTACCAATGCTAATCACTGCCGGGAAATGACTTGAACGATAAAAATGACAGGTAAACATCATCAGGAGCAATCTTTGCATTTTCAGCATTGCAGATGTGTAAATATGGGAGAATGATGTACAAGGAGAAGCTATTTCTTCAAATGTTATCATTGATAAAAACAGAAAAATATCAATGCAGTCATTTTCTTTATAGGAGAACCTTTATATCCATTAAAGCTGCATTTTGGTGTTTTGGTTTCAGGAAGGGATAGTTTGTAGCTCCTTTCAATTAGGAAATTAATTTACACAATTTCCGCTAAGAGCTCCTTCACTAAAGAAATCAGATTTTAAGATAGAAGGAACCCCCAGTGATGTCTTTAGGACCTTGAAACATTGGGGGAATCAGCCTTAAATAGCAAATTTCCATAGTCAGCACCCTAGTTTATACTGATAGTGTTGTACCAGTTCTTACAAAGTGTGACGTGTGCCGCAACACCATGAATAATTTATGAAACAATGATTTAAATGTGTAATTTGTTTATTAAAACTGGAAATAAATTCAGAATCTATTTAATAAATACACAATTAATTATATGGGCCTTAATCAAATATATTGATAAGTGAATATCATTATTTAATGATTTAATAAATAATTTTATGTTCCTGCATTGAACGCTCACCATGAATAAATTCAACTTGTCACGCATCCATAGTCAGAGGCAGGACTGGGCTCGCTTCCATATAGAAATCCTCACGTCTGATTGGCTGCTTCTCGCTGAGGAAGCTAATGAAGCTTCTTCCTAGTTTTCTTTTACTCTAAATACAATATTATCACAAAAAAATGCAGAAATAACTTCAAAAATGTGCCACAATTTATTTACAGCACAGTGGGTGAGCAACTTAAGCCTCTATATTTCTAGTTTGGCCTTGAAAAAGTTATTGAGAGATTGTGATCAGTTGTTAGTCAGTTGTTGGGACCAGCTTTGAATCTGCTGATGTCTCTTGCAGCTCCCACCACACCAGACTACCGCAAGCTCTCTCATAAGCGTATTATATATACTTTACACCACATCAAAAAAATTATTTTTCACCATGAAAGACCATAATTAATTTCACCATAATTAAATTTTTTCACATTAAATAAATGTACTATGTTTAACTAAGGGCCATATAATTAATTACATATTTGTTAAATAAATTATGTGTTGTTTCCAGTTTCAATCAATGAACGAAACATTTAAATAATTATTTCATAAGGTATTTATTTATTTATTTATTGAATTTTGGCACTCATCATCCTCCATAGTTCTCTGCCTCGGCTGGATTTTGTTTGTCAGCTATTGTTCGAACAACTGTTAGAATTTAAAATAAAAACTGTTGTGAAACAGCCAACTGAAGAGCTCAGACTGAGCGGTTAAATTTCTATGAAAGAAAAGTAAAGACATCTATTAAAACAGGTTTTGGGTTAAAATTTAAAGCCATTTTTTTCCACTTCTACCAAATTTCACACAGTACATTCTATTTTATCTGGCTGTTGCTTCAATTGTTAATCACAGGAAGTTTATTTCTTAAATGTATCTAAATAAAATAATTTACTGGTCTAGACGACTGTTACCCTTTACGCTCTGAACTGAGTGTAACTGACTTACGCATTATCTGTTTATCTTCACAATTCAAGAATTGCTTAAATTATTTTTGTTTACTTAAAATGAACATTTTATTGTTTGTCTCTATGGTATAATATCAGTTTTATGCAGGTTTCATCCCCAGTAAACGATGGGTTGCTTAACTATACAACCAAGCAAACAAAGCACTAGATTTTATTTAGATTTTTATTGAAGGAGTTTGGGAAAAAAAAATTTCAGGACTTATTTTTCCTCTCAAAATAAAATAAACTTTTATTGAATCTTTTATAAATAAAAAGGCAGAGCAAGGGCAAAATGTACAGAGAATACATTTCAAACATTTCTCACATTTCTGAGTCAATATTGCAGAACAAACAAGACAAAAAAAACAAAAAAAATACTTGGCTTCTTTTCATTCTGTATACAATTTTTTCAGGCACTTTGGATTTTTTTGCAGATCCTACATTTTTATGCAGTCTGGACCTGTAATACTGGTTGGCTGATCAACTTTTATCAATGCAATACCTTACTGTGAAATTAGCCATTTCCTTTATTGTTATCGACTTATAGAATTTCTGCAAAAGGAAATTTCTTTGCAACCATTTTCTCACTTTGACAAGTTTCAAACTAAAATCATAAAAATCCTGTTTGACTTTTTTCTTAACCTATACTTTTGCAACATATACATAAAAAAGAGTAACTAGTTCAAACATCTTATTGTTTGCTTACTTTGGTACAACCTGTGAATGCATCTACAAAGGCCAAAGCGCGTGGCACTGCTTACGTTTAGAACCAATGCAGTTTTATAACGACCAGGCAAGTAACGTTCAAACAGAAAGTGATTATGTTTGCTTTTGCTTTAGAAAGACACAATAAGCAGGAAACAGTTTCATCTGCTTCCGTCTCAGATTGCCATAACATCAGAGCATTAAGGACAGGCACATTCCCAGTGTAGATGGAGGCCAGTCTTCATCCTGAGAAACGGTCATATCTACCGGTAGTAATTTTGAAGCAGCAGGACAGTGATGCTTACTGTGGAAAAAAAAGCAAAAAATTTGAATCACTTGACATTTAAACAGGTAGGTCACCCTTTAAATGCAATAAAAAAAAATATTAGCAAGGGAAAGACAATGCTAAAGAGGGAAAAGTTTGTTAAAAATAAGAAACTGAGGTTAGCTCAATAGTTATCTCTATGATTATGGTTAAGAATAAATAAACACAGACACCAACAATCTATGTGTAAAGTTGCATGTGAAATGAGTATTTCAGAGAAGTGAAATTTCTATTGGCTGATTTTCCATCTTTTATCTTCAACATACATTGTATATAGCCTAAAGAGGGCACTTACCCTGTCCCATGGTTGCTGCAACTTTAGTTTCTTTTTATTCTATGTTGTTTTTTACCTCTTTTGTCTTCTTCCAATATTTTAAGGAATACCATATAGGGAAGTCAGCTGCCAACATGTACCAGGGCTACATTGCTTTACAGAAGGATATCTGAGGATGGCTGAGCTTCATCCTTCTCCACTTAACGAGATGATCTTAAACCTGTGGTCTCAAACTTTAACCCCCCTACAGCTGTTTGTGTCCTTTGCTCAATGCACCTCCACAAAATTGCAAAATAACCACTGTAACAGGGATGTAAACAAATAATTCCCTTAATGGATTGATATTTTATTAGATCAAATATTATTCTATTTGATCAAATTAATTGACAAATGAATTAATTGAACTTAATTAATTAATTAAGAGAAGTAAAGCCAGAAAGGAGGCGTGGAAAACCACAAACATAAGTCGATTGAGAGTCCGGTCTGGGATTATTTACACTGTTTAATGGAGACAAAGATGTAGAATGCACTTTGGACTCATGCATGCTCTTGCACATGCATTTTTTAAGTGGAGAGGGCGATCTTTTAAAAAAAAAATCCTCCAAAATACCTTTAAATAATGTGTACACCACATTTTTGTTCATTTATTCTGTATTTAATACATCTGGCTCAATGAATTGTTAAAATATTATGTACTATTTGTTTTGTGAGAAAAAATATTTATCCCTTCGTGATATAGAAATATCCTCTTGATACAAGAAAAAACTTCTTAAAGTTTTTAAAGAAATGTCCGTTTATCAATTAAAAACCTAAGTTCATTGATAAGATTGATAAAATTTAGATAAAATAATCAATAATTAGCATCTTTACTCCTTGGCATGCAGCCAAACTCTGCAGGACTCTGCTAATAAGCTCAAAAAGGAGTCCGGGTTTGTTCATGAGAAATGCATCTAAAAATTAAAGGTAGTGTTGCGCTGATGCCACTTTTTTGGCCCCGATACAGATACCCGATATTTAGCTGTTCAGTATCGGCCAATACAGATACCGATACCATCTGTTTGAAATCGATATGTGTGTGTGTGTGTATATGAAGAACTGCATACTACTTGGATGTAAAATAATTTCCATCATGGCTTTGTCAAGCTGCTGCCTACCTTTGTGAAGCAGGAAAAAGACTAATACAAAGTGAATCCAGTAGAACTTTTTATTGCCTACCTGGAATGGGTGACAATAGTTGAATAAACTTTTGGCTCCCAAAATGGTATCAGTGCCCTATTTGTTGGTACTAGCTGATACCGATACCACCATTTTAGTGCAGGATCGGGGGCCCCGCCCGATACTGGTATTGATATCAGTGCAACACTAATTAAAGGACAGCTTTCCTTAGAAACTGGAGTCTGAGACCAGTGTTTAAAACACTGGTCCCTGTCTTTGTTGTGGAGCTGGAAATTCAAATGGTTAGAGCTAATCTATTTATAAGTCTGCAGTCATAAACACTGGTTTTACTAACTATTGTGGTTGTTTTGCTGCAGCCCTTCTTTTCCCAGCTAAGTGTTCTTCCCAAAATAGCCCATCCATGTTTTTGACACCAAAAACGATTTGGGTTTGAATCTACCACTAGTCTCTTTAATATGTAATCGTGATGTTAAAACTCACCAAGTCCAGCAATCAATCCTCCCACAAGAGTATTTCCACTGCCTGTAAAAGAAAAAATAATAAATAAATTAAAAAAAAAGCTGAAATTTTGAAGAACATTTGAGATTTGAGCAACATTTTTTTACCAAGTGGTTCCTTTGTTGCAAGAAGTTATGAAAAAATGACATACAAAAAAAAAATCTTGTTTTTGTTGGATGTATTAATTAAACTAAAAATACTATGCAAAATAAAAACTGAAGATCAGCTTTAACTTTGCCTGTGTCCAGATCCTTAGGCTGCAAAGTTTACACAAAAATCTCCCTTCTACATCCATACAGGTGAAGAAGTAAGATTTAAAACATGAAATACCATAAACCACCAGAAGCCACAGATTCTAAAGAGTTACCTTATGACTGTTCATATCTACTAATAACTTACTGATGCATTGTGGAATTCCCGGTGACCACTCGCTTTTTTCATTGCAGGTCAGCCTTTGTGATCCTTTCATCTTGTATCCTTGTTTGCATTTGTATGTCACAGTAGACTTGTACTTATAAGGAGGTCGAGCTCCTTCCAGATATTCCCCATTTGTAATCTGGGGTTCTTGACACTGAACCACTAAAAGATAAAAAGCACAGTATAATAAAAATAAGAGTACAATGCTGTGCAAAACTTTGGGCTAAGAGGAGGTTTGATAATGTCTCAATTCTGAAAAGTTTACTAAACGGAAAGTGGGCAAAAAAAAAAAAAGAAGAATCTAACGCAGGGGTCTCAAACTGGTTCCAGAAAGGGCTGCAGGTTTTCTTTCCAACTAAGCAATCGCACACCAGACTCCAGTCATCTCATCAACTGAGTGCAATCTGGACATGATGACTCGATGGAGTCTGGTGTGCGATTGCTTGCTTGGAAAGAAAACCTTTCTGGAACCGGTTTGAGACCCCTGTATGGGGTTACTATCCTTTGCTCTTAAACAAACTCTAACCTGTGCAACATCAGCTATGCTTAGAGTGTTCATGACACACAATATTGACATTTTCTAGTATTTTTTTAAGACCAAAACATTATTACCGATGATGGCTGTAATATTACAAGGGTGCCTGCATAAAAATATTTTCTCTTATCAAAAAAAAAGCTGCCATTCAGAGATCTCTAGCCCTGCTTAGTGACTGGGGGAGAAAATGTGAGTGACGTATGCAGGAGAACGACTGACCATTGGAACAGTGGGTTAGTTATGGAAAGTTCATCCAGGTTTCATGGATTCATATACGGCCATGCGACGTGTTGTGTTATAGCTTTTTGCCTCAACACCCATAAGGATGGTGTCGGCTTATTTACATTTCCTAAGGATCCGGAGCTGCTTTCAAAGTGGCTGGAAGCAGGTCAGACGAGATCGGGAAAAGTTAGAGCACTCCACAGTGTCTCTTCTGTGTTTGAAACATTTTGGGAAGGAGGTTTTCTTTATTTTGTTCTCCCATTGAAAGCGCTGCCCCAGGAGAGAGAAAATAAGCCAGTTTATGAGTCAGACACACAACCTGCTGATGTCAGTCCCAGCACTTCCACCTCCACATCAGTTTCGAGATGTTGTCGAGGATAGAGGAATTTAAGAAAATATTCAGAAAAGATCAAGAGGCTGATGTCATAGCTTGCTACTGTTCCCGATGATGACCCAAAGCTATAGCTGAAATACCAAAGCAGAGCCTTGCTTTATGGTAATAACATGGCTCTACATTCTGTATTTAGGTGTCTTTGACACCTAATACAGAAACTGTAAAGTGCCTTAAGATGACATGTGTTGTGAATTTGGCGCTATATAAATAAACTGAATTGAAATTTGACGTGCCAGGTGTTAACAGAAAGTTCAGGGGAATTTATGCTGTATTTTTTAACTGAGGTGGGGTTTTCCCATTTATTTTGGACTGGAAACATGCAGATCTGACAACCCTGGCAGTGACGGAAGGGTGGAGGAGCTAGCAATAACTTTAAGAATATAGTAGATCACCTCTTGTAACAGTGGTGGGGGTTTTATTTCAAAATGATGTTCATTTAAAGTATTATACATTAATTTATATTTAGTAAACTAACTGGTTATACTATCTGTATCCATGGCGTATCAAGCCGTGTTTCTCCACTGCTGCGGTCACATTAGCTGACTCTCAACTCAGAGTCTGACTCTAGAGATCCACTCTGGATGGTTGTGACCTGTAAGGTGTGATACCTTCATATTCCTCATCATCACCACCTTCTCCTGAGCTTGAAGTGGCTGATGGTTCAATAATCAAAAAGCCTTTCTAGACCATATTATCCTGAACAATCAACAATGTTTCCATCCATCTCCATAATAGAAGGATGAGTTATACCCAAAAGTGCCGGCATAGAGAACAGTGCTGCCATGACGCTACAACATGTAGAATATGTGTTAAAAATAAGCCTGTCTAATTCATAATAACTCAGAACCACCTGTTATGTCCCGCTGCATGATTTTCATGTAAACTTTGAAACAATATTGTGTCATCAACACTAAGTTTTGTTGACATTTGCAAACCAATTTGTTAGGATTATTTTTTATTATGTGCCATGACTCTTTGATTCCAGTTTTCGAGTGTTTTGGATTACTTGTGGCCTCTTTAACAGACAGAACACCCAGATGCTTATTTGCACCAATACAACCATTTCTATCTCTTTTGCTTATACACCTCAACAGAACAGATTCTGGTTCGGTTGAGGCCGGGGCCTAGAATCTCAGTGGGACTTACACTGATGAGGCTGTTCCAGCAAGTTTATTTTCAGGTGTCTTGAGCCAATATGAAAGTCAGACTGGAGTCACACAAAAACCCAAACAACAAAGACTTGACCTGGATTTCTGCCCTGAAAACCCATGACTTAACTTGACCTCTGGTGATATATAACCAATCTTTATCTCATCTGATCAGGTTTGAAAACAGGTTAGTAAAAGCTACAGGCTGCAGACAACCAAGGTGCTTCTCCAGAAAGGGTGGGCTTCATTACTAGCGATGACATTTGCAAATCACTGAGTTAAATGCAGCTTAACGTTTTGTCTATGCTAGCTGTAGCTTCATAACTATCACACAAGGAACATTTTAAAGTAACTTCTGATTGAACAGCATTTCAACTGTATCACTTCAATTGTTGCTCAGTGTTAAAAATGGTAAAGGTTTAGATTTCAAAGATTACTTACAGACGCATGACGGAGGAGAAGATGATGTTGGGGGTTCAAACTTCCCATTTTCTCCACAGGTTAAAGAACTCGATCCGATGAGGGCATAGTCATTGTCACAGGAGTATTGCACAACTTCTCCATATTCATACTCTTCTTTCTGTGGACTTTCGACTTTACCATTTGCAATATCCACTGTCTGGAGACACCTAATTACTAGAAAGAAATACTCCATTAGACTAAAAACCACAGCTTAAACTTTTTTTCAAATTTGTACACAAATGAGACCAACCTTCACATTCAGGCAACCTTCCTGTCCACCCTGACGATTCACATTTGACTTCACGGTTACCAACTAGATTGTATCTAAGGGGAAAAAACAGATTATTGTTAGCTTCAACACCAACCACAATAATGATTTATTATTTTATTGTTTGAGTTATAATTGTTTTATTTACCCTGTTTTACAGCTGATCAATGCTTTATCCCCAAACAGTGTCTCATCAGGATATTCAACTATCATATTAGGTTTATCTTCAACAGGTCCACAGTTCTTCCCTAAAATAGAAAGACACAGACATTACAAGCGTATACCAGCTAAACTATTAGTCAAACCTCAATGCAAGTAGCTTAACCTGTAATCTTTCCCATGCAGGTTAAATAATTTAAATTCAAGTCAAGTTGCCTTTTTTCTCTCCCAAACTTTTTTTTTTTTTATCTCTGTTCAGAGTTTGTTTCTGCATATTTTTCATCGCAAAATTCTATGATTTTGTAGAATCAAATTTCTTGCTTGTTTTTTTTTTTTTTTACTTTTATACAATTTTTCTAGATTGAAATTGTATAAATTGTATAAACTCTAAACATGCTTAAATTGTAGTCAAGAGTGTTATCCACAGATGCTAAGAAAAATGCAATGCTTAAATAGTCTTGAGCATTGTTTTCTTTTATGATTATATTTATTTGCTTTGTTGTTGTTGTCGTTGTTGTTTTTTTTGTCCCAGTCTTTCACTGAGTTTAGAACCCAAAACTAACATTGTCAAAAGACCAAATGTTAAATAAAATGCCTCATTTAAAAGTTGTGAATGTGGTTGCAGTCAATTAATGAAAACCAAACTACAGAAAGGTAAATGTTAAAATCGCAGTGCAGGGTGAAAGTTCAAATACAACACAGCGGCTCCATAGAGAATTAACTATGTTGAACATATGAGAAAATACCACAACTGACATTACATTATGAAAGCTCTTAAAGAGTTATGTGAGTATATTTACTCTTGCAAGTCAGCGTAACAGGGCTCCATGTGCCCTTGTTACAGTTGATGATTGGTGATCCTTTTGCAGGTGTGTAGCCGACATTACAAGCAAAAGACACAGTAGAACCATCCTCAAATGTATCCTTTGAAATATACTCATTCTCCAGATTCATATTCTGCCCCCCAGGAGGCTTGGGACACTGCTGTGCTATTACAAAAATAAATAAAACAATGGATGATTAAAACCAAAGTTCAAGACCAAACTTTCCTAATTCTTATATTTCTTGTATGAGCATGAACGCACCTTGGGCAAGGATGCCAAAGCCAAAGCTGCTAAGTAGACAGAGGGCAGAGATACTCATTTTTAGGATCCAGTGTAGAAACCTAAAGAGAATTATATCATTCTGGAAGAAAAAAATAGATACAGGGAGAGAAATTAATGATTAAATAAGATGGCTGTGTGTAACTATGAGCAAGCAGGAAAAGGTTTACGCTCACTGTAAACTATTAACTCAAAGGGACTTAGCCCCAATGGCTCTTTATTTATTTTGGTAGAACCTAATAGCATTTAGATGATAGTGTGGTTAAATGTCTGTAACAAAATCTACAAGCATTGTTTATTGGAAATATCAGCAGTTAATTGTCATGTGCCTGGACTTTATTTACTCAGGTCAAGCCAGCCTCCACTTCAGAAACGACCGCCAAGCAGCTCTGCCTGTTTTTTTAAATCGGTCACGCATACGCCATGAAATACGGTGGCTTGGACTTTTAAAAATAGCACTGACAAGTTTAACATTTATTAACTAGAATTTGTTATAATTTATACCCCTCTGGTGTAAAAAAAATATTTCTTATGTGCTCCTGTGAATGTGTTTTTATTAAGTGGCTGTTTAACATTAAATTATTTGTGCACTTTATTTCAGAATGCCAATTTATTTTACCTAAGTTTGAATATCTGTTAAACCAAAACTTTGTCTCCAGTTACTGATTCCACTTCAGAGTGACAGGACACCCAAAGATAGTTTTCAGCACAAGTCATCAAGGAATTCTAAAATTAAAGCCTCTCAAAAATCGGTAAATTTGACATTTTTTTTGCATCTTTTTCCATGAATACTGCAAACCTCCCTGTTTCCCGTTACTGATTTCACTTCAAACTGATATTAGGACACTCCTAGATAATTTTCACCAGAAGTCATCAAGGTCTGATGTGGAATTCCAAAATTAAGCCTCTCAAAATAGGTAATTTAGACTTTTTTTTTTCATCTGTTTCCATGAATCCTGCTAATCTCCCTGTTTTCAATTACTGATTTCACTTCAGGGTGACAGTAGATAGTTTTCACCAGAAGTCCTCAGGGTCTGATGTGGAATTCCAAAATTAAAGCCTCTCACAGTCTGTCAAACTGGTCACTTTTATCTAAGTTGCTGTCAACATTGCTCAAAAAATCCCTGATTTTACTTCAGGTTGGCAGGATGGGGCCCCTATATGCTTCTTACCAAATATCATCTAGATCTAATGTGGAGTTTAAAGAGTTAAACCAATCAAAGTCTGAAAACTGGGTCAGTAATATTATTATAAGTTATTATAATGCAATGGTGATTTCACTTCAGTTTGATGTCAGTTAATTCAGTGAAGGTTTGACTCACTTTCATCTAAAAAAAACTGACCAAAGTAATGATTTATGCAGAACAACGATTATAAGCAAACACTCTTTAACTAAACAGGATTGGGGTAGTTAAAAATAAAAAAGACATTGCAGCTATTACACATTAGGAACTGTTCATCCGGTTTATTTTTCCGGACCAGCCCTTTCTTTTCCTTCTGCGTAGCACAGCAGACTACACAAGGGTCTGTAAAATACAGTTTTACAAATATTTCTAACAGGATTAAGTCAGTCATTTTTTTCCTTTTCAACATCAGCATCTGCTACCGAGAGCCAGACGGTGGGGTAATTCTCACCATTAATATATTTTTAAAAAATCTAATGAAAAAGTTCTTCACATATTCTTTTCCGGGGGAAAAAAACACATCTAAGGTCTGTTAACATAAATGCTTAAACGTTATATATTTTTTTAATTAGCAAATGTATCCTGAGGTTCCGTTAAATGAAGCGACAGCTGCTTACCTATCTCTCACCTCATCTGACCTGTTTTGCTCAGTGGTTTTTGTCTCAAACCGGAAGTCCTCCCGGACCTTTAAACCCTATCAGTGCACAGCGCCACCTACCGTAGGTGAAGTAGTACAAAATTTAAAGCAACTACAGCAAAGTTAACGCAGATGTGAATGAATATTGGCACTTTTGGCCTTGAACGTGTGATAGTTTATTTAAATCTGTATAATCAAATCTTACTTCGATAAAACCGTCTGTTTTCTTTTGCTTTCTCCTGAAAAAAGTGAGATTAGTTTTAAAATCAGTACTTCCTAACCCTTACACTTGGTCCACTTTCTTATCGAAAACTTGAATTTATTTTAAATATCTCCTTTGCTTTATTATTTTTCCAATGTATAGCTGTTTATTGTTTTGCTCAATTAATACTTAAAGGTTCTTGTAGTTACCATGAATTTAACAGGATAACAATTTTTGTTGATTAAATTAGCTATACTTAGAGAACAATTTTTTATCGCTGTATTAATACTAAACTTTTAGATAGAATGAGCAAATAACAAATGTATGCTTCTAAATAAACTAAGGAGATCATCCTAGATCCCTGGTAATGACCCAGTTCGAGAGGTGGGAATGACACTACTTGATACATTTTTTACCAAGTAAAGCAGCAATTAAAGACATTATTCTAGTGAGATTAAAAAAAAATTGTTTGTTAAAAAGGCTATTTGAGTACAGAGATACTCATAATATGTGATTTAAGAAATGGAATGAAATTCATTTCAGACAATTTTGACAAACAATGATATACGAATCAACCAAATACACGAAAAGAGACTGGTTAACGCCAACCTAACTAAATTTGCCTGAACATAATTAGAAACAAAGCCCCCCATCAAATAAACCTGTCGGTATAAAAGGGGTATTTTTTTCTAATTGCACTTAAATTGACTTGAAGTGGAGTAACCTTAATATTAAACGTTTTTTTGATCCAATATTCACACAAAAAATCTATATACACATGTACACAATTTATATACACTATATTGCCAAAAGTATTTGCTCACCCATCCAAATTATTGGAATCAGGTGTTCCAATCACTTCCATGGCCACAGGTGTATAAATTCAAGCACCTAGGCATGCAGACTGTTTTTACAAACATTTGTGAAAGAATGGGTCGCTCTCAGGAGCTCAGTGAATTCCAGCGTGGAACTGTGATAGGATGCCACCTGTGCAACAAATCCAGTCGTGAAATTTCCTCGCTCCTAAATATTCCACAGTCAACTGTCAGCTGTATTATAAGAAAATGGAAGTGTTTGGGAACGACAGCAACTCAGCCACGAAGTGGTAGGCCACGTAAACTGACGGAGCGGGGTCAGCGGATGCTGACGCGCATAGTGCGAAGAGGTCGCCAACTTTCTGCAGAGTCAATCACTACAGACCTCCAAACTTCATGTGGCCTTCAGATTAGCTCAAGAACAGTGCGCAGAGAGCTTCATGGAATGGGTTTCCATGGTCGAGCAGCTGCATCCAAGCCATACATCACCAAGTGCAATGCAAAGCGTCGGATGCGGTGGTGTAAAGCACGCCGCCACTGGACTCTAGAGCAGTGGAGACGCGTTCTCTGGAGTGACGAATCGCGCTTCTCCATCTGGCAATCTGATGGACGGGTCTGGGTTTGGCGGTTGCCAGGAGAACGGTACTTGTCTGACTGCATTGTGCCAAGTGTAAAGTTTGGTGGAGGGGGGATTATGGTGTGGGGTTGTTTTTCAGGAGCTGGGCTTGGCCCCTTAGTTCCAGTGAAAGGAACTCTGAATGCTTCAGCATCCCAAGACATTTTGGACAATTCCATGCTCCCAACTTTGTGGGAACAGTTTGGAGCTGGCCCCTTCCTCTTCCAACATGACTGTGCACCAGTGCACAAAGCAAGGTCCATAAAGACATGGATGACAGAGTCTGGTGTGGATGAACTTGACTGGCCTGCACAGAGTCCTGACCTCAACCCGATAGAACACCTTTGGGATGAATTAGAGCGGAGACTGAGAGCCAGGCCTTCTCGTCCAACATCAGTGTGCAACCTCACAAATGCGCTTCTGGAAGAATGGTCAAAAATTCCCATAAACACACTCCTAAACCTTGTGGACAGCCTTCCCAGAAGAGTTGAAGCTGTTCTAGCTGCAAAGGGTGGACCGACGTCATATTGAACCCTATGGATTAGGAACGGGATGTCACTTAAGCTCATATGTGAGTCAAGGCAGGTGAGCAAATACTTTTGGCAATATAGTGTATATATATATATATATATACACACATACACGTAAACGCACACATACATACCTACACAAACACATCAGGCCAAACTCCACATTTACAACCTTGTACATCGGCACAGTACTGCGACCCCACCTGCCAAGAAATTATTTAAAAGCAAAATGCTTTTGTCACACTTAAATCTGTTTTATCGGAAAACACTGATTAGACTTAATTCATATTTAAAACCTGCTCCTATGTGGAAAAAAGAAACAAACACAAAAGAAACATCTTCTCCCTCTTCTTCCATTCACCCATCAATCCATGTGCACAAAAAACAACACCACACTTCTTACTTTTCATTTTTCCTTTAATTCCAGAAAGAAAAACTAGTTTCACAACTGCCTTCACAAAAAAAATGAAACATTTTAATAAATAGGAAGTTCAAACTTCTTTGAGATCATCTTCATAAATAGTTTTCAATGTGACCAAAATCAGTGCTGAAGTCTTAATATTAAAACAATTCATCTTCTAGACAGTATGTGGCTAACCAGGATGTTAACGGTGTTGCAGTGAAAGAGAGAGAGAAAAAAACTTTACTGATTGGAAAAATGGTAACAATATCTGCAACATAATTGGCCAATATCCCGAAACAATAAAAATAAGGTCACAAAGTTAATACATTAAAAAACACAAACACCAAGCTGCTGTTATACCAACTACAAAAATAAACACACATAAAGTAAAGCATTCAGCTTTTATACATTCAGGCTCATACCATATGGCATGGTTTTTATTAGGCACTAATTTTATAACCATTTTAGATAAAACTATGGTTTGGTATTTAAATAATGAACATTAAGACTGAGTGGCTTTATCCCATAGGAGGTCTTTTTTTCTTTCTTCTTGAAAAGCTCCCTACAACCTCGCTACACTACAGGTGGAATATCAATTTCTCAATTAGGCCAAAACTTTCTGCGCAGACATGATGTTTGTGAGTTAAGTACGTATTGAACAAACAGATTTTCCCTAAAACACTTTAAGATGTTCTATTTTATTTAGGCCTGGCATCCAGGCTGAGCTCTGCTTAAATTCAAACATCCCAAATAAATGCAGAGTTCAATAATGTCCAGACAATTCAAACTGGAAACAGTGGATATGAGTAAAAGCTGTAGAATGAGAGAGATTTAACAGATGAAGCGAGAATAAATTGAAAAGTGTCTGAATCACAGACTGCAGCCCTGAAGAAGCAGATTTCCACAGAGGCTCTTTGGAAGCACGTCCATCAACAGACTGGTCCAGAGACAATCCTCCTCTCAAGATGACGCCTTCACCATCAGAAGTGTTGGACCAACAGGACTGCGGTGCTTACTGAAGACAAAAAGGAACAGAGGTAATGGATCAACCACCTTTATAAATATGATGCACTGAATGCTTCAGTGAAGAAAGTGTTCCAGCAGGTTACATAGAAACTTAGGGTGATATACCAGAGGAAGGAAGGTAAAAGCAACAGACTTATTATTTTTCTTTTCTTTTTTTGGCCAAAAATCATGTGGAGCATCTATATAGCTAAAGGCCATGAAGTAAAATTAAAAAAAGTAATGCCATCACCGACATTTTGTTTTCTCTTAACAAAATTTATATTAGTCTCCTTACCGAGAGCGCTACATCCTCGCCATGTTTTGCAGCCTCTTTGTCAGTAGGACGTCTCTGAGCGCTGTAACCCACCAATGACTGGTCAGTATTACTGGTTATATATATTTATGACAAGGAAGACCAAGAATCAAGTGTTTAGCCTGCTGAAACCCCCAGGAACACCCCTGTAACCTGAGGTCCAAACAGAGTAAACAGGGGCTACAGCCACCATCCAATGCAGGGATCACCTCAAAGCAGAAACCCCAGAAGCAAGAGAAAAATCATGCAGCATTCCGTTTACTAGCCACCCAACAAAAATCAAAGATGTTTTAATTCAGCTTAAAAGAAATAAAAGCAACATGGTTTATTCGTCCAAGAAAGAAAGAATCAAACTGCAACTTTGTCCTGAAAAATTTCCCGCTAACAGAGTTATCAAACCTGCAAAAAATGATTGAGATGGAACTGAGATGTTTAGACCACAATAATCCTGGATTTAATTATCTTTAGGGTCAAGTTATATTAAGTACAATCTTTTCTGATTCAGATGAAGTTTTTAAAAACAAATTTATGACGCAGAATCAGCAGCAATTAGTCACTAGTAGCTTAATTAATGTGGAACTTAAAAATTTTAGTAAAACTCTACAGCTACCTTTAGTGCTCCTCCTGTCCTGCTCTCATTATATATTCAACTGCATCTCCATAAATAGGAATATCCTCAAAAAGTGAAACTATTCTATAGATTCATTAATCAAAGAGTGATATAAATTAAGCATTTTCAGTAGAATAAAATGCTACATCAGAAGAATAAAAACAAGGATTTTTTAAACAGAAATGTAGTGTCTATGTGAGGGGAAGGCAGCCTATTTAACCACAGTTCAGCAGAAACACAACAATGCAAAGTGAAAGGAAACATTTTAACTGCTGTCTTTCCAATAGAAGAAGATGACAGATGCATGGGTTCCAACTATGATTCACAGTGTCATGCCACTTCTAAGCCAAAAGTTACGTCTAACAGGGGTTTGGTCAAAAAACTAAGCAAGCAGCTTGATGTCCAGTTTCCAAACTCACTGATGGTTTTGGAAAAGTTCACTGTCAGTCGCAGACAACGGGGTGGAAGGAGAGCTCATAAGGGGGGGAAAGCTTTTTTCGTTTTTCACCCCATAAAAAAGCTTTTTGTAAAAAAAAAAAAAAAAAAAAAAGCCAACTTGTTCCTGCAGTTCTTAGTTGCTAATAATGTTTTTTAGTCTATTAAGCGGCTTTAATAAAGTACAAAACACCGTGTCTGGTAGAGGCAGGAAAAAAGAAATGGCGCCTGAATATTTCCCTGTGTTTTGGATCAGAAAGCAGCTCCATCATATAGTTGTTAGCCGAGGAAGACGCCTTAAGCAGCAGGTTCAGCCTCCCTTTGGTTAGCAGACCTGCTTCTGTGTCCTCTGCTCTGATGGAGAGAACAAACTCAGCAGCTTTTCTCAGAGATGCCTCATGTAACTTTTCAAGTGAAGGGTATAACCTGACCAGCTTGGAAAGGTAGCCTTTAGGGACCAATAAATGCCAATCCCAAAGAAAGGTTACAGACATTACAGTTTTATCTTAAATTTAAACAGGACAAAAAAGCAAAAAGAGGCGAAGGCGGCAGGAATGGAAAACCTAAGGGATCAAAAATGAAAAATGGATGCCGCAAATATATATAGTGTACAATAAGATGGCAGAAGGGATAGCGAAGGTCAAATCTCTTCTTCTGGGCACGGACAAAGCAGTCATCTGGCCTGACATCAGGAGTCATGTTGTCTCTTCGTGTTTCTCCACTAAAGTCATCTTATGTGGTCCAAAGTTTCAGAGCATTTCATGCATCCCTCTACTGACAAGCTATGAAAAGAAGCCGATTTAATTTCCTGCGGCACTGGGCACATGTGGATGCTGTCTAAAATTGGCGTCTGTAATAATTAGGAATTCAATGGTTACAACATCGAAATGCTTTAAGTATATCACTCTGTATGCAAAAGGATTTGCATAGTATGCTGCATAAATGGAATTGCTACAATAAATGTGTTTTTATAAATAATATTCCAATTTACAGAGATGCATCTATATATAATCTTTGGAAACATCTGAAGTAGAGCTCCTTTAGATTAAACCTACAGCTCTGTAGGAGAAGTCTGTTCTTATTCTAAAAACCAGTGACAAAGTAAGAAGGTTTCATAATTCTGTAAAGCAGGGATGGGCATTGACTTTTTAATAACTGGAAAAACCTGAAAACAGCATCTATGCAAAAAAAAAAAAAAAAAAAAAAAAACCTTCCCCTTTTTAGCTTGCTCCCAAAACATTTTGTGTTTAAAGCTACAGTGTGTAATTTTCAGCGACATCTAAAGTCCAGACTGCAGACCACAGCAACGCAAATATTAAGGTTAAGAGGCTGAGCTCGTAGATGATGATAAATAACATAGTTATGTATAATATATTACATTTCTGACTGTATATCCCTGTAATTATTACACACTGTAGCTTTAAGGTTCTGTATGCAGCATTCCCAGATAAGGACTTAAAGGAATAGTACACCCAAAACATGATTAGCCTTCATTTTCTACTCACCCCCATGCTGAACAAAACTCTGGAGTACTTTTTTGATATCTCAAATGCATCTGGAGATCTGGGAGGCTTCTTGCTGTCTGCTGACATTCAAATAATGGAGGTCTATGGCGCCCGAGACAGAAAGGTCCATAAAAGTCCATAAAAACGTGTCAATATTCCTCCATACTGCTCGTCCAATGTATTCCAAGTGTCCTGAGTGGGTAGCGTCCATAATTTACTCGAAACGAAGTCATTTAGAATGTTTTTAGAGCATAAACAGTAGTGTATAGGATTTCCTAATAGCGCCCCCATGCGCGCTCACGACGCTACGGAAGCCGGCAGACCAAACCAGCGCATTCAGCTCGGCAAAGAACTCATGCTCTTCCTCAACACTGAAGTCCTCAGACATTTTTCTTTCGTTGTTTCTTTCTTTGCACAGGTAAACAGCACATTTCTTCTTCTACGCTTGCATTATCGGCAGAGCAGACGCTGAATGCGCACTTCCTTCCGGTTTGGTCTGCCGGCTTCCGTAGAATCGTGAGCGCGCATGGGGGCGCTATTAGGAAATCCTATACACTACTGTTTATGCTCTAAAAACATTCTAAATGACTTCGTTTCGAGTAAATTCTGGATGCTACCCACTCAGGACACTTGGATTACATTGGACGAGCAGTATGGAGGAATATTGACACGTTTTTATGGACTTTTATGGACCTTTCTGTCTCGGGCGCCATAGACCTCCATTATTTGAATGTCAGCAGACAGCAAGAAGCCTCCCAGATCTCCAGATGCCTTTGAGATATCAAAAAAGTACTCCAGAGTTTTGTTCAGCATGGGGGTGAGTAGAAAATGAAGGCTAATCATGTTTTGGGTGTACTATTCCTTTAATGGCTTTATTGCTCTGATGATGGAAGGTATCACACAATGATGGATATCATCCCTCAGGTGGAGGAGCTGGAGGAGACAAACTTTTGGCTAACGGCAACGTTTGACCGCTAACGCTGCGCATGTGAACAAAGTCTGGCAGTTGGCTGAGGGTGAAAAAAGATCTCCAACCATTTAAACAATGATCTATAAACTCTAATATCAGTTCTTTTTAAAATGCCCATCCCTACTTCAACGTGCAACAAAGAGAAAGCTCAGACAGGAAGCAAAAGCACATATTCACATTGTTAACGGCCCGACAGAAGAGAGAAAAACAGGACAGAGAACCAAAAATACATTTAAAGCTATGCCAAGAATTAGTTTGCATTGATTAGAAAAAATAAAAGATTTACCGTTTCTTTCGATAGATGAAGAATATGACGACCAAGATGATGATAACTATAACTATTTTGAGGAAGAAAATATTTAGATGTTTAACAGTGATATTTTTTTTTATTTTAAGGGTGTCAGAGATCTTAAAATATTCTCATTATTCTTTGTAATTCTACAGGAAGTGTTTTACTAATAGATTCTATCGAAAGCTCATCTTCAAACACATGAAATATGTTTTTAAAATCTGCTAGTTTGAAAGAGATGGTCTTAATTTGTTCAAAAGGAAAATCACTTAAAGCGTTCCCTCAAAAAGATTCATTGTGAACATAAATAGGACTGGATAACAAAAGGTAGCAGAAAACAAAACAAAAAAATTAAATGAAAATTTAATTCAGATCATGAAGAAACTCAACTGCAACATTTCAAATAGGATGTAAAGTTTTAAAAGTGTTTGCCTAAAACAGCAAACCTGTTTCCCTGACAAGAACAGATTTTATTACAGGCAACACCCAAAAAGTTATACATAGAGAGTGTGCAGACTTTTTAGTTTTATCTTTGCTCATCATTTCTATGTTCACCAATATATCTAATTATTATGGGATGATTTATATGTGTATTAATGTGCTTTCATTGTGTTTTATTTACTTTTATTGTTACTACAGGTGGAAATAAACTGTTGGGCTTAATCTGAAAAATTTGCACAATAGTTAAATCCATCCATGGATTAATACACACTGTTCTATTATTAAGCAAACAAATAAAGCAGAGTTAAGAAGTTAAAATGTTAGACTCCGGGTTAAATTATCATCCTGATCAGAATATTTGTTCTTTATTTTAGGAGATGGTATCATAGAAAAAAAATAACCCCAAGCAAAATAAGAAAAGGGACAAAGGTATTGCTTATTAAACTATTGCTTTGTTTGTTCGTTGTCCTCTATGTCTATGAAACTCAATAAACTATGTTATTACAGCCATGTTGTTTCTTTGAGGTCACGCTAGTTTTGATTAGGCTTCAATCTCTGTTGACTGTATAAACTCAGCTTAGGGGATGAGGGTAAACTTACCAATCACAGCAATAACCCATGATGGAAAAGAATGTCCACCATCTGAGGAAAAGAAAGATAGAAGAGATTAGATGAAACCAAACCCTAACTGCAAAAACCAGCAGTATAGTTATTCATCTTATTCTATGCATCTTATTCTATTTCCTCTAAGGTTTGAGCATCTATATACAATACAGTGGACCAAGAGTAGAGGTGAGTATTGGCATGAGTGTTGCGATTCGATACATGTCACGATACTTGGGTCACGATACGATATTATCACGATATTGCAGTATCACTATATATTGCCATATTTTCCCCAGCTATCAAAATCAAATGATGAGATAAAACAGCAAGTGCTGTATATTTTCATCAGAAAATATTGATTAGGTATTATTATCCATGTTGTTTGGGGTTTTCTTCCACTGTGACTGCCTCAAATACAGATTTGGTGCTGAACGCACAGTTAAAGGGCTCCACGGCGCTTTCTGCCAGAGTGGTGGTGCAGAGGTAGCCCATTTTCCCATCTATGTTTTATGTAACCATTTTTTTTTAATCGATACTAAGAAGTGAAAGATCGATATTATATTGGGCAGCCGAATATCACGATATATCGCCAAAACGATTATTTCCCACACCCCTAACCAAGAGAGGGTGTGTTTTTCTTTGTGCAAAAATTTAGCAAATGAAACGGATTCTGATAATCCCATATACTTACAGTTTTAAATCTAACATACAATAACTGCATCTACACAGCACAATGTTAGCTAGTTTGACTTGTGAGATTAGGAAGAAATCACTGACTGATATATAAATGAGATAGCCAGATGGAAATGCTAGCTGGTCACAAAAAGATTAATACTCGTGGGGTTTATGAAAATATAAAAATGTTGAAATGCTGTTTGATTCTTGTTATACTGTACATGGTCAAATCAATTGTAACAATTGCAAAACACTACAATTTGAATGGCATTGTACATCTTTTTTAACAACAATAAAAATATGATTAAAAAAAAACAAAGAAAAAAAGATTAATAGTGAACAAGCTGGAAAAAAAAAAAAAAAAAAAAAAAAAAGGATTCTGAGAAGCTTACGTTTACTTAGATTATATTTATTTTCAGAAGGGGCCTGGACTGGTAAGCCAACAGCAGCAGCACCCTAATGCTGAACCTTCGTCACCCCAAAAATACTGTATGCAAGTTTGGGAATAATGCCTGACGAGGTGTCAGTTATCGTAAATTAATGGCTGATGCGTAATGGAAACTGGTTCCATTCAGTTGTGATAATAAACACTTAATCAGGAATTGTTATGCACTAATTATTTACAGAAGAAATAAATATTAAATCAATTGTTAATACATTAGTGTTTATTCACCGTTAAAATCGTAGGTTTTTCACATGAATCGTGAGTGGACCATTAAAAATCTCTTGCTGTGAAGTGTTACCAAGGTAACCAGGCTTTGGCAGCTCGGTCGGCCATAGCTCAGAGCTACGTTAGGTCATACAGTGTATTATTACAAAGGAACCCAGCACAGCAACGTAAAGCAATCAGCCTATTTGATGGGAAGTTTATCGCAGGTTTCCAATAACACTCAAGTAGACTATTCATCTAGAACATGTTGTAATACTAAGACTTTATTGTCGTTTTGTATACGCAGAGTGTATACAAAACGACATTTCATTTTGTATACACTGACAATAAAATTTGTCTAAGAGTTAGTCACTTCACAAACACTCATACTGATGTACAGGAATTTTTTTTTTCTGCGGTCACAATGACATTCATATATAAATGTATGATTATACCAAGTAATTTGTAAAATTTATATCAGTAAATATGTTATTATATATAATTTTTTAACATGTTACCCATAATTCAAGATGCACTGTACCTGAGGGGGTTGTGGTGGTGGTGATGGTAGTAGTAGTAGTTGTGGTGGTAGCAGCTTTAGTTGGCACTGAATGTTCTACAAGAACAAAAGGTGGAAAAGGGAAATCATTGTTACTGTGCCATTAAAGCTTGGAGTTTACCATTTCAAGAAAAAAAACAAGTGGACTAACACGTTTCCTTTTCAGTTGAGGTATTATTTAAAAGCTCTGAGACGTCTTTCTAATTTCAAACAGGAAAAGGCTCATTACTAACGAGCCTTTTCCTGTTTGCCTTTAAATAAAATAATTTAAATCAAGCAGCATGTTAGAAATGGGAAGTCAAAGCTCCTCTTCTTTCTTATTTTGTTGAGGTGCTTCGTATGAATCTCATAAAAGAGTATCAAAATAGAGGAAAGATAAATAAAAATCTCCCGTAAAACAAAATGAGCCAACAAGGCGCACATGGGACTATTTTTTTACATTTTTCTTCCCACTTTAATGTCCCCCTACAGGCCCGGTGATGTTTTTTTGTTCTTTCTTGGCCGTTAAATGTTTTCTTTTTGTTTCTGAACGTGGCAAAAAACTTAGTTTTTACTGGAAAAATACTTTTGAACTGACTTTTTATTTGACCCTTTACAACTAAAATCGTTTGATGAGGAAACTCAGTAGTTCAGCTCTGATGCAACTATAAGCCAGTAGCCACACAAAAAAATGTTTGAGCTACGGGAACAAGCAGAAGAGTGCTGCAATTCTGTGTTTTGGCCACAGGTGGCAAAATCATAACAAAAAACTCTAATGCGTCTTTAAAGTTATTCATTGTGTTTTTAATTTTGATTTAACTGCACTGCACCTGTGCTGACAACTTCCAATGTAATATTTTTTACTCTTTTCTTTTTTCTTTTTAGTAGTTTTGCGTATACAATAACCTTAGATGCAGTTTTTTTAAAAATCAATCAAGCATTAAAACTGCTCCTAAATATAAAACATAAAAGAAATGATGAAACTCAGTCTGTGAATAATCACTTAAAAAGAGGGCTCTTTAGCAAGGTTTGTTTCTTGGTAATAAGTTGTTGAGACCTTGATATAATGTAAATTGTTCAGTTTAAAGCTTGTTTAACAGTTAAAATATTCTGTTTCATCAAACTAATGGTCTTATAATGGTCATAAGTTAAACATGGCACCTCATAGGAAACAACTTTCTGCGGATAGGGTGAGGGTTTCTTAATCCTTACATTTTCAGACAGTTTATTCCAATTTGTTGTACATAAACAGTAGAAATGCCACTAATTTTTTTGTTTTAACCAGGAATTGACGCTGCATCCTGAAGGCCTTAGTGTGAAACTGTGTGAAGGGAGGGGTTGCATCCTCAAACTGAAGCTAGAGGAGCACAAGTTCTCTGACATCCACCAGCTACAGTGGGAATACAGGAAGATGATTTCAGTGGAAACCTGAGAAGCTCTAGTGAACTTTATTTCTCAGACATAAGCTGCTGAAAAATACCAACACTAATACTTCAGTCACAGGTTTGGACATCCTCCCCTGCCAGCATTTTCATGATAATTGAGTTAATTTCAGGGGACAGGAAATTTAAACCATTATAATCGAAGTATAGTATCTTCAGTTTTGTCACATGAAAAGATATAGTAAAATATTTACAAACATATTGATGGGTTTCCGATGCTCGACTTACTTATGCAGCTTGGTAACGCTGGAGACCACTGACTGTCTATGGTGCAGGTTATGGTAGACGATCCATGTAAATTGTATCCATTTTCACAGCTGTATGTCACGCTGGCCTTGTATCTGTGTGGAGGACGAGAACCTCGTTCGTAGACAGCATGTGTAATTACAGGATCCCTACATTCGACCCCTTAAAGTAAATGGAAAGGAAAATATTACTTTAACAACAGTAATCATAATTATGGTAACGGATCTGAGACTAAAAGCAGCAGAACACTTACAGACACAGGTTGGAGGGTCAGGATGGAATTTCCCATCTTCAGAGCAGACTAACTCACTTGATCCATTGCGCACAACATCTTTGTTGCAGTCATACTGCACAACACTGTTGTATTCATAGTTTTCTTCCAGTGGTGTAAATGTACCATTTACAACTCCATCTGGTGTAACACACCGAATCACTGCAAAACAAAATCATTTCTGTAAGACCTGAAACATATTTCAATTAATTTCAATTTCATATAAGATGAAATCAACCTAAAGGTGACCTACCTTCACAAGTCGGTTTTCTGCCTCCCCATCCCTCGTCTTCACACCTTAAAACTGAATTTCCAACTAGGTTGTAACTAATTAGTTGGTGGGAAATACAAAGAAAGCAAATGAAACTCAGAAAAGCCCTTCAATAGCACTGATAGACTAGCAAACAGGATGAACATTCACTTTGATTTTAGGGCAATAAAAGTTATTTAACCTCTAAGGCCTTAAAAAGTGCACAAATTCACTGTGAGACATTCCAATAAATAACTAGTTAAACAGTCCCATTATCTGCTAAACAAAAAAGAGAAAACGTAGAAACAGTAAATATAAAATACTGCAGATTACATTCAACAACAAAGAGGGTCGAGCAACAACTCAGCTGCTACATTTAATTTCTCATTAAAACATTTAAAACAACTAATGTTAACTGAATCTCTTTCTACAGCATTGGGTGCATGTAAACACAATGGCAGGTTGATACCATCTAGCATCGAGCTGACTAGCACAGGTTGCGTTAATCATTCTTTTTAAAAGGCATTAAACATGAAACGCATCATTCAACAGTAGGACTGGTTATTGCAAATGGAAAAAAAACTAAAACTAGGTATGAACAATTATTCAATATCAATGTATATCAAAATATAATTTCAAAAGACATCTATGTGTCACTGACTGACATTTTGGGTTTTATATAGTTTTATGTTTTTTTTAGTTTAAAAAAAAATAATACTTTTAAAATATTAAAGTCATCAATTGTACAGGACTCTGTTGTGGGTAAACTTAGCAATCTTTTTGCAAGCTTATATTTTCTTTATATTGGTATGGAAAATATATCATGTCTACTAAACTTAAAATATATATTGTAATATAAGTTTTGGTCGTATCATCCAGCCCTACCTAAAACAGTTTGAAATCATAAAGCAGAGTAATGTTTTAGTTTTCACACATATACAAAAGCATATTTTCATCGCTCACATTCATTAGATAGAAAGTTATGACTTTAGTACTAACCCCTGTCTACACTCGTATTTAACTGTATCACCAAACTCAGCCGTGGTGTCCCCATATTGACCAAACTCCACTTCTGGAGGAGCGCCACAGCTCTTCTCTGAAACAAAAACAAAGGAAAAGAAAGAAAAAAAAATTACTTTAATGCATTTCATTGAGGAGTTTGCCTTTTTAAGAAGAGGCTCATCTTAGAAGGCACATATGTTAGGTAGCCACAATAAAAAATTACTTATGGAACATATTAAACAGTCTTCAAAGAACACATATTTACATAGAAATGTTATATGTAGTATGTGAATAAAGTAAAGCCAGTGCAGGTCCAGTCTATAAAATGGGTTCAAGATGTGTATGATTGTCACTGTGTGTTCTTCTGAGTTTATGAGTGTGTGTGTGTGTGTATAGTAGGTGAAATAGTTTTTCTGCTACATAATTGTAGATGGAAATATTTACTCTGGCATTCCAGCAGCACAGGACTCCACAAGCCAGCGGTGCATGTGATCTTTCCAGATCCTCCAGCAGGTTCGTAGCCAACATTACATTTAAAATAAACCACAGCCCCATTCTCAAATGTCTCCTGGGTGATGTAGTCATCTCTTAAGTTCATGTTTGGTCCTCCAATGGGTGTAGAACATTGCTGGGCTAGGGAACATTTCAATAAATGATTAAATTAGTTGAGAAGATGGGAATGAAGACTGAAAGCACTTCAACAATTGATAGGTTGGGCATGCTCAGTGTTCCTGTTAGGACTCACCTTGAACAATGGTGGCAAGGCAAAGGCTACTTAATAGTAGGGCATAAACACACATGGCAGGATCTGGTGTTTCAATCCGGTGACAATAAAACTTTTTGGAAACAAAAAAAATTAACAAGGAAATATGAACAAGAAGATCTTCAACTAAAACAATCACACATCAAGGTCTAAAGGTTTTTACACCTGAACAATGACAGGCATGAAGTCTTAATACCTGCGAAAAATTACAGAAATCAAAATCTTAAAGATTTTAAACACATAAAATGTTGTATTCCTATTTTAAAAGGAATACAATCAGAAACAGCAACAACGCTTGTAAAGTGTGTTTATAAAAAAGTGAACCTAACGTCTAACAAGGCCTACAAATCCATCGTATAATAAAATGTAATTTAAATTTTCTCAATAAACGTTAGCAAACTCGACAATAAATGACATAAGGAAAAAAAAGCGATTGTATTTTACAACCTCTTTCAAAGCATGGCTCGGCGTTTATACGTAAACAACGGCTTAAGTTAATCCTCCATTAGCTTCAGTTTACATAAAATGCAAGCCGAAGTAGCCAAGAGCTCATTTATGTTGAGTTAAAACATTCAATAAGTTAAAAAAGAAAGCCAAAATCAGCTGTAAAACAATCAAGACGGTAAACATGGCAAAATTCGCATTAAGTTCGGCTAACTCACTGGAGGTTAGCAAAAACCGTCACCATAACATATAGCTGAAACTGAGTTGAGAAATTCCCTGAGGATTTTCATTACTTACTTTTATACGTGTCCAATCGAGCATATGCGTTTAGTTATAGAGAGTAGAATAGATTCGGACTTACAAAAAGAAAACGCGACCAATCACTATGGTGGCGGCAACTTCCGGTTGGTCTGTCGAAGGCGTAGGGAACTCTTCTTCTTTGTTTTAATGCCAGTGGGCAACAAGCTTTTGGGTGCATTACCGCCACCCACAGAAGTAATGTTTAGACCGCGATACAATTATTTCTACAACAAACAACGAAAAAAAATCAGTTTATGAAGTTGGTAAGGGCAGCTCATTAATAAAGATTAACCCTTCGATTTAGCGTTTAAAATGTGTTTTATGTTAAGTTGTGATATTGGATTGTAATTTAACATAATTTCTCTGACCTACATTTTAATGCAAAACAATAAAACATTGTTCACCGTTTCTTCCTGAAAACAAAAATCACATTTTCTAGCAAATTTAGAAAATTTCCCTAGAAATTATTTAATCTTTTCTGTCTTCATGTTTTCTTCACAATGAATAGGATGCTAACGTTTTGTAACTGCATTTTTATTTATTTTTTATTTATTTATTTATTTCCTTATTCCCAGGTCTCCCTTGACAAGAAGATTTTTTAGCTCAATAGTGATTTTCCAAATTAAATAAAGGTTTAAAAAGACAAAAGTTGACTTGAAAAGGTACTTTATAAGTACAAACAATTTACCATGTCTTGAATGCTATATAAGAACTGCTGAATTTCTCTTGGGACATCTAATGCTTTGTCTAAATGACTGTGTTTCAGTGAATATAAAGATGAACTAGATTTGAAGCAAAATTAATTTCTTCATAAATGGATTTCTTTAATCCATTCCAAAGCCAATATGATCTCAAACATTTCTCCTGAGTAGACTTGAACTCCATGACTGTATCTGTTAGCTGTTGTAAAATTAAATATTTGAACAATAAAAAACAAAAACACAGTCACTGTCGCTTTTGGATCTTTTGAAACATCAGTATAAACGTTAAGGTATCCATAATGTTTGTTATCTAAATATTGATGACCCATACATGGATCTAAAATATTCTCCTTGCTTAGATTGGATTCAATGTCAGGTAAAAGACATAAACAAACTGATCTTCGAAGAGCTATTTTACTGATGTTTATTTGAGATTATTCAAAATCCTTAATTATTTAATCTGCTGTTCAGACAAAATAATTTAATTATTTTTTTTCCTTTTTCCTGAGACAAGTATCTAGAAAGAATTTGTAATCTTTTCAACTCAAGTACCATTTCTCCCTTTCCTATGTTGATCCTTCAACACCTGTATATAATCTAAATACTTGAAACTGAAAAATGTCCAATTTATGCAAAACCAATTCAATCATAAGAAAATTCAATCTGAATTAAACCTGAATATATGAACTTCAGTGTTTTCCTCACAGCTCCTCACTCCCATCTATAGACCTCATAAAACGTATAACTATTTCGCATTTATCAGTTATTTTCTTAATATGTATTTCTAAGGCTGACCTTTCATCCAACTTTATACCGAAAGCCTTAAATTGATTATCCCTTTGCAAGTTATGTCTATAAGTTTTCTATTAGTTTTTATATTTGCTGAAATTTATTTTTCTTGTAAATAAAAACCAAACAAACAAGTTAACATTTGTTTATTTCCTTTATTGGTTCAGTATTTTTCAATAAACTGTACCAATAATTGTAATTGTACAAAAATATGTAAACATAAATGTTTACATTTACAGTTGCCTGTTTAATTTGTTTTTGTTTGTTTTTTTCTTCCACAAAACTTTTATTATTCTGATCATTGAACATTTTTATATATATCAAACAAAAATAACACTGCATAAACCTTAGAGTGCTTGAGCTTTATAAATTGCTTTGTAACCCTGTTCAGGCTGATAGAGGTCAGTTAATTTGGTTTCTTATCTGTTGTTGAGTTCATTTAGATCAGGGAAAGATGTTTTATCTTTAAATAGTTTTCTCATCCTCTAGTGCAGTGGGAATCTGACACAATTTCTTTCCTATTCCTGTTCAGACCAGCCAATAAAAAGTAAAACAAATGGCTCTCACAGTCCTTTTGCTGATCGATATTGTCATTTCATTCACATAACTCCAAAGAAAATGTTGAGTTGCCTAAAAAAAGTTTTGAACCTATTGGTTTTCAACTAATGTATGGAAGGTTTAAAACATTGGAGACTGCTCCTTTTTTTTTCTTAACTCCAAAGATCTGGTAGAAAACTGCCCAAGCACAGAAGTACAAAGTAGTGAAATCACCAGCATTGGTCATTTGACTAAATAAATATCCACACCAAATAAATGAAAACAGGATGTTACAAAGATTTCCAGACAACCTTCAGCTTTAACATTTTAAATACCGTACAAACTTTGCTTTCCAACAATCAGTTTGTACAGAGCTCAACAATAGAACTAAACATCCGACCGCGAGCACAGCATGAATTTCAGGAAATTTTGGGTTTGGAACAGTTCTGTCAGTCAGACTGGCCTACTTTACAGGAACACTCCTTTATAAACCATCAAGGGCGGTATTTTGGCAGTTTGCCCACCTTTGAATGGAACAATGCAAATCATTTAATCGACTATTCATGGAGAATGATGTAATATCTCCGGCATTTCCACCCATTTTCTATTATACTTTAAAATCATAATTTACCCGGAATCCATACTATTTAGAATAAAACAGCTTTTTAATATACAAACCACTGGATCCCGTTTTTACTTTTAACAGCACAAATGTGAAGGACAATTTAATTATAGTCTGTGTCATAAATTTCTGCTTTTTTCCAGGATGATCTCCTTCTCAGATTGGTGTTGGTAGCATAAATCCAAAAAGCTCCCAGGATGAGGTTGAATGAAAAATATGTCAAATTCTGCTGTGATGTTTAGTATTTATTTAATATAAAGTATTTTTGAATATTATTGTGTGATGGTTATAATTGCACTACATTGTTCAGTAAAGAACAATATAGTGCTCTACCTTTCTCATACCTCATCCAAAATAGTTAGGTAATCTGTGATTATGTTGGCACTGATTCCTGGTCAGATAACTCCATTCATACACCTGCTTTACTCTGCCCAGTTTTAATTACCCGCTTAGCTGATCCCCTGTATTAGTCTCTATTTAACCAGCCTTCAGACCAGTCATCAGTCCCAGATTATTTTAAACCGTTGGTGAGATTTAATCTACTGTAATGTTTTCTGACTGCCCGATCCCGACCCGTTCTGCCTCTCGACCTCTGCGCCCACCTGTTCCTGTCTGATCTGTTTGCCTGATCTGTCCTCGGATTCCTGCCTAATCTGTGCCTGCTTGTCTACCGACAGGAAACCATTTCCCGGCCACTGAGTCTACCTGCCCTCGTCCAGCCTGTCATTCCCATTGTGAACGCAACCTGGAACTGTTACCTGACTCCGTCTTAGTGCTTCACCGGATATCTGACCTCCTGGCTCTGAAAACCTAACACATCTCTGACATTAGCTTTGGCTTCACCCTCTGGACTATCCTGCCTACATCCCTCTGCTTGGTTCTAATCTCCTGCTTGTCCTCTGACCTCCAATACACCTGCTTCTGGGACACTATGTGCGGCAACTGCTGCGCCGTTTTGGCAGCCAGCCGGCAGGAACAATCCTGTACTTCTGGACTCAGACTATATAGAACTATAAGACCAGGTTAGTGACTCACTCGTTTGTGATCATCCACTTCCAGAAAGACGTGATCACTAACTTGCTTTCTCCATCTGCAGAGGTTCCTGCCTTAGACACTGTCTGCCTGATTCTGTTATTCATAAAACGTTCTGAGAAATCTTTTTTGTCTGAAATTACTGGATCTTCTTTTCTGAGCTCTGACAGTAATCCTGAGCTGTTTTCTACATTATTAGTGCTATATGTTTAGACCAGAGGTCTTCAACGGAGGGTCCGCAACCCCTAGGGGGTGCTCGGAGGTACTGCATGGGGGTCGCAAAAGTTTTGGTTGATTAGACTTTTTTTATACTCCCCCTGCAGTTTTTTCCACTAATTGAAATGTTTTTAAATCCACATTAACATGAATTCAACACACTGTAGTAAACAGATAATTGGAGGCAGAAGATGTCTTTCAGTCATCAATGCTCACATTCAGCGACACACAGGAGCTCTTTCAAGCTGGGCACCATTTCATTCACAACACCTGTACCATCAACGAGGAGTCAGAATCAGAAATACTTTAATAATCCCAGGGCGAAATTAATTTTGGTTACATGGCTCCATCTGTAATAGAGTGACTGTAGGACCAGTTTGATATAACGTAATTTCATGCAATATATATAATAAGGGGGTCCCCGCTCCATCTCGCCATCAGTTTAGGGGTCCTTGGTCTGGAAAACGTTGAAGACCCTTGGTTTAGACTGCTGAAGGACATAAGGATCCCTTTTAATCATTCTGCTTCATTCTATCTCTATTATCAATTCTGCAGTATTTGTTTGTTCCACCCTCTTTTATGTTCTCCAGGACTGGTCATAGGGAGAACCGGGAGTATTATCTCTCTCTGTAGTTGTTAAAAGTCTGCCGGTGCAGCAGCGGCACACCTGTCAGAGAGAGGGACAGACCAGGCCACTTTGGCCAGTAGCATTTGAGGAGGGACACAGACAGCAGAGGGTGGAGGAAGGCTAGCGAGCGGTGCAAGTGAGGATAAGAAGCAATGGACTCGGCCTACGAACGTAGTAAAAGGAAAAGCGGCGCAGGGAGGGAGAGAGACAAAAAAGAAAGGCGGTGGCTAGAGGGGGATGCTGCCAAATGCAGAACAGTAACAGGTTTATTACAGCGGTAAAGTTACCATATATTCTTCTAGATCAGTGTCTCCCAACCTTTTTTTGACTCGTGTTCCCCTTTTTGCAATTTTTCATACCATGAGTCCCCCTCTCAGTCAAAAGTATTGATGATTGTCCAAAAGTAGAATTTACAATAACTGAAATAAAGACTATTTTACTTAATCTTTTCATTTGAGCATTTTTTTGTAATATTATTTATACTTTCCTTCTTAAATAAAAAAAACATTAGTATGTTGCCTGGAAGTTGGTAAAGAATTTAAATAAATACAAAATAAAATCATATCATAAACCTTTATTTATAAAAATTGAGCTTCCCTGTAATACCACTAAACAGACAGACATTTTAGTCAGACTGACTTAATTCATTTTGCTTTGTTTTCATCAAGATGCTTGAGCTGCTTTGATGAGCTCTGGTAGCTCAGTGTGAAAAACAGCTGATTCCAGGCTGTTCTTTACATCCAGTCTGTTCCTCTGCTTGGTTTTATGTGGGTCAAAGCTGAAGGTGAACTCAAATACATAATCAAAACTTACTTTTTGGTTGATAAAATCTTGTTTAATTTTTCAGTTGGGTCCTCACAAAGCAAAACAGATCAGTCAGTCATGTAACCAGTCCAGGGTTCAGATGTTTATTTTATAAAAAAAAAATATTGCTACAAAACAAAATGCAGTGGACAAATAAAATCCATATTGGTTTTAATTTACAAAACGTTATTTATAAGTAATAATGATTTTTGGAGTTAAGGTGTATTGTTCATGGTACATACTCCAAATCTTCAGTTATGTTAGCTGATGTCTTTAGTGTTCTCTGAAGCTGATCATTTCCCCCTACCAAATCTATGTTATGATAGCATTTACTATTTTAGAATAGCATTTATGGATCCCAGGCTATCATGGCTAAATATTGTGTAACAGTCACAGTTACATGCTTATCCCACTTCTCAGCTTCTTCAGAAAGACCTATACCAGGTTGCTGGAAAGAACTAACCTGACTCCGCCAGATGGATTTGCTCAGCATATCCTTCCATTGCAGTAATTTTGGGAAGGGGCGAAAATACTGGTTAGCTGATTGGCCTATGTTGGTGATAGACGGGCCAAATAAACCAATCAGATCAACGAAGCATTTGACGTACTGACAGACCGACGACGAAAACACAACCACAAGCCAGGCTACTCTTGCCGAAACCAGTCGGGAGAAGAGCAAAAACATATTTTCCTCTGAGAAAAGCCTCCAGAGCAGTGTTTTGCTCTTCTTTCAGCGAAGAAATACTCTGTAATTCCAATAAAACTTGCTCGATAGCCACACTAACGCTAGTTTCATCGGCTGAAGTGTCGTGCTTCTCGTTGCGTCACACCACAACCCGCCTCAAAGCCAACGCTGATTGGACGTTCGTTTGACGAACGGCTCCAAATTTTCTTCAACGGAGAGTCTCCAGACTGATTAGCGAGTGAAACCTTGAAAGCTCGTGAGATCAGGATTGTCTCACGAGGCTAGGAAAGAACTGGGCAGCAGTTAATGATTGTTAATGAGACGAAGACAATCTGAGTGAAAAAAAAAAATTTGAAAACATAAATCCAACACTGCTTATATAGGATTTCATTTATTAAAGGAAAACAGCTATCCATCATCCAACATCTATCAATCCATCAAGATGCATAAAATACTTGCATAGGATGTTGTGTAATATCATTTCAATAGAAGTAAGAAATTCTACAGTTTTACAATTGTCTCCATAAAAATATAAATATTAACATGATCATTTTAATAATCATGAAGTGCAAACATCTTTGAAATAAGCTTTAATAAATCTATTTCAATTTGATCCCATTCAATACTGAAGGCTTAATTATAAAAAGAAGATGCTATTCCTCGTACTATGTGGTAAAGTGAAAACTATCATGGTCAACCCCGAGAATAGCCTTTATTGGCCTTTCATACAACAGAGTGTGTTCAGTCAGAGGCTGCTGTAAATCAGAACGCTATAGAAGATCCTTCCTTCCCACAGCAATCAGCATCTACAAAAACTCATTGAAAAAAAAACATATAAAGTATAAACAGCATTTTTTTTCTTCTTTGGGATTAACAAAGTTGATAAATAAAAGTTAAACATACAAAACTATTTAACATACTACGAATAAAGATTTGGTTTTTTTTGTTTTGTTTTTGCATTGATGCATATATTGAATGATATGCGCTTTGTTAGGAAATAATTTCAGAACTTTTCAAGAGAAGCTATTGTCTAGTTCATAAATATGGAACACTAAGATTAAGGGGTTTAATCCACTAGGGCTTTATTTGTCAAATTCAACAGGTCAAAACCTTCTAGGCAGACATGATGTTTGTTAATTAAGCACTAAAAGATGCACTATTTTCACAAGACAATGTTTTTGTTTCTCCCACTATTTTAAGATAAGCTGCAATTTAGGAAGAGATATAAAGTAAAAAAAAAAGGGATATGAATCTATGTAAACACTGTAAATTACTATGGCTAATCAGACAGGTTGTTTGAAGCATTGAGAGAGAATAAATGTCAAGTGTCTGAATCACAGAATGGCTGCCCGGCAGAAGCTGATTTCCACACTTCTCTCTTGAAGCATGTGGATTCACAGACTAGTCCAGAGATGATCCTCTCCTCAAGATGACACGTTTACCAACTGGAGTTTTGAAGCAGGACAGTGGCGCTTACTAAAGACAAAAGGAACAGGGAAAATAAATTGTCATCCACATTAAAGAAAAACTATTCCACCTATCAATTAAATCTATAATTTAGTAAACAATGTGCCAAGTGCTTAAGCAAAGAATGTTTGCCTAAAAGACACGTGGTGTTATCCCAGAATGACAGAAAAGCAGATGAAAGCAAAAAAAAAAAAGGTAACAAATTCATTTATATGCCTTTAAGTATACAAAAAATAAAAATTAGGTTCTAATTTTGAATACAAACAGACACCAAAATCTCAATTGACACATTTTTGCCTTAACATTTTAAAAATTATAGAATTAAGTCTTTTAGGTCAAAATCTTAGTCTTTTTTTTTTTTTTTTATCAATCTTTATTTCTTTTTCTTCTTCTTCCAGTTAATTTTTTCTTATGCTGTCTTTTAAATCTGATAAACCATCTTCCTTTTCTTCACCTATTTTATCTTTTCTGCAATTCTTTCTTCAGTTTGCGTTGGATGATGCTTCTTCTCTTTTTACGTATATAGTCTGTAAAGACCTTCCTAAATTTAGGGGGATTGCAACCTAAGCTCAGAATCTAAGCCGCTTGAGGCCCATTTTCCAAATGCATCTAGTGATTCTTTGAGTTTTATCGTCTTTTGGTGTTTATCTACTCATGCTGGTCCAAAGAAATCAATGTGTTCATAAAAATATCTACATTAACGTTCTGTTTTATCTTAGAAAAATGAAATAGATCACAAGATAAAAATGTAAGAAAAGGGCTGTTTATTAACTAATTCCCAAATATAGTTACTGGCTGCAGGGGCGGATTTCACAAATTTGGGGCCCTAGGCAAAGACAGGAAGGGGGTCCTCTGAATTCAGAAGACAGATCCATTATACAGATACAGAAATTTTAATAGAATGGACATACATAATTTGTTCTACGTTTTGTCCCTCTCTTCTTGTCCCTTTTCTTGTTGTTTTCCTCTTTGTTTTGTACTACTAGCTGACTTTTCATGCTGTCTCAAAAGGAATTAAAGATTTTTTCCAAGCACTACGCACACTTAGCCGATTGCTCCTTCCTGTGTTTCCAAAAAGGCGATGGCAAAAGTAAATAACAGTCCTTCCTTTCATTGTAGACAAGCCATGATCTGCTTATCTGTTCTCAATTTTTCATTTGAATGAAATAATAGCTGAAAGCAGAAAAGATAGAAGAGAGCAGGAGGCGGGCTTACAAATTCACTTGCCCTGGAGAGCTACGGAGCCCCTCTTATGACATGGTCAAAAAAAATGTTTAATTGTGGCCACAAAGTAGTATTTCGTGCGCACAAAGTAGTATTTCGCGGCCACGCTATAAGTATAACGTGCGCACGAAATACTACTTCGTGGCCACGCAATAAGTTTAACGTGCGCACGAAATACTATTTCGTGGCCACGCAATAAGTTTAACGTGCGCACGAAATACTTATTAATAATATCAATAAATCCGCCCCTGTTTTCAGGCTTATGTTAACTGTAATGACTTATCTTGGACAGGCTGCTATGTAAACGGGCCTTTAGTCCTTCGTTTAGCTATGCTGCGGTTGTTTACACTACGCCGTTTCCACCTAAAATAGCGTCTTAGCAACAAATGTCACGTGACTGGCGGAGACCGACTGGGTAAGCAAATCGAGCGCGCCTTAGACCTTAGAGAAGGCGCGCTCGATTTGCTTACCCAGTTGTCCAGGAATGATATAAATATTATTAATAAGTATTTCGTGCGCACGTTAAACTTATTGCGTGGCCACGAAATAGTATTTCGTGCGCACGATAAACTTATTGCGTGGCCACGAAGTAGTATTTCGTGCGCACATTATACTTATTGAGTGGCTACTTTGTGTGCACGAAATACTACTTCGTGGCCACAGTAAAAAAAATTTTTTGACCATGTCATCAGAGGGGCTCCGTAGTGAGCAGAGTTTGCTGCTTTTTTTATTTTTTTGCCTAAGTCTCCAGTAGCAAGAAATAAAAAATTAATAATAAAAAAATTATAATAATAAAATAATCACTAGATTTGGCACTAGGGGCTTTTTTTAATAAAGGTGCTAAAGGGGTCTGAAAAGTCACTAAATATAGCAACAAAAGAGCTAAGTTCGCAACCCTGCTCTTCAAACCTTTTTTTTTTTTTTTTTTTTATGTTTGGCTGCAGTCTGTTTGACTTACTGTTTGACAGACTTAAAGGAATAGTACACCCAAAACATGATTAGCCTTCATTTTCTACTCACCCCCATGCTAAACAACACTCTGGAGTACTTTTTTGATATCTCAAATGCATCTGGAGATCTGGGAGGCTTCTTGCTGTCTGCTGACATTCAAATAATGGAGGTCTATGGTGCCCGAGACAGAAAGGTCCATAAAAGTCCACAAAAAACGTGTCAATATTCCTCCATACTGCTCGTCCAATGTATTCCAAGTGTCCTGAGTGGGTAGCATCCAGAATTTACTCGAAACGAAGTCATTTAGAATGTTTTTAGAGCATAAACAGTAGTGTATAGGATTTCCTGAAAGCGCGCACATGCGCGTTCACGACGCTACGGAAGCCGGCAGACCAAACCAGCGCATTCAGCTCGGCAAAGAACTCATGCTCTTCTTCAACACTGAAGTCCTCAGACATTTTTCTTTCGTTGTTTCTTTCTTTGCACAGGTAAACAGCACATTTCTTCTTCTACGCTTGCATTATTGGCAGAGCAGACGCTGAATGCGCACTTTCATCTGGTTTGGTGTGCCGCTTCCGTAGGCTCGTGAACGCGCATGTGCGCGCTTTCAGGAAATCCTATACACTACTGTTTATGCTCTAAAAAAATTCTAAATGACTTCGTTTCGAGTAAATTCTGGATGCTTCCCACTCAGGACACTTGGAATACATTGGACGAGCAGTATGGAGGAATATTGACACGTTTTTTGTGGACTTTTATGGACCTTTCTGCCTCGGGCACCATAGACCTCCATTATTTGAATGTCAGCAGACAGCAAGAAGCCTCCCAGATCTCCAGATGCATTTGAGATATCAAAAAAGTACTCCAGAGTGTTGTTCAGCATGGGGGTGAGTAGAAAATGAAGGCTAATCATGTTTTGGGTGTACTATTCCTTTAATATTATAAGCATTCTGATGGCATTTTAGAAAAAGGATCTTTATCAAAAACATAATTAAGGTGCACAAATAAGGAATAGTTGTATAAACCATACATGTAAACACAGTTTTATGGGGCCCCCAGGAACTTGGGGCCCTAGGCAACTGCCTAGTATTTCCTAACGGCAAATCCCTCCCTGGCTGGCAGAAAACATGAGCCAATGACGGCTTGGATAGTGTAGAAATGGGCAAAGACATATATCTGGGCTTAAAAGCAGCTTCTATTCATCTGATGATGCACATGTGAACAATGTCTTAAAGGTGGTAAATTGTGACTGATTTTTTCCAAATACATTTGTAATTTCTATTGTTGGTTCTTGCAATACAAATTCCTACTTCAAGGAGAAAAAAAACTTCAACATGCAACAGGGAGAAAGGTCAGACAAGGAAAGCTCAGACAGTAAAGATACAAAATCTCATTGGTAGCGGCCAGACAGAGAAAAGAAAAAAAAAGAAAGCCAAGCAACCAACATTTAAATGAAGCAGAGTCCAATGATCAGAAAAAAAAAGATTTACCGTTGCCTTCTGTAGATGAAGAATAGGACAATGGTGATGAAGATGAGGACAGTTAAGATAGCTATGTTGAGGGGGAAAATAATCAGAAGTTTTAAGATGATTTTTCTGAAAGAGTCTCAGTACCCCAAAAGTATCCCAGGTAGTCTTTAGATTGAAAAGTGTTTTACTTGCAGATTTAATAAATAGCTTTAGACGTATTAAATACATTTAAAAAAGATCAACTTTTTGCAAGAGATGGTCTAAATCTATTTAAAAAATGCAAACACTTAATATGATCCCTTGGAATGATTCAGTTTGAACAGAACTGGGACTGATTAAACAAAAGCTTTTTGGAAAAAGAAAAAGAAAACAGGTCAAATGTGAAAGCTTCACCAAGATGAAGAAACTTGATTATAAAAATTCAAAATCATATAGTGTTTGCCATTCAATGATGTTCCAAAAAAAAAAAAAAAAAAAAAAAATTACAGCAAATCCAAGTCCAAAAGTGTGTCCCTTCACCTCCTCAGTTATATTTAGGTATCTATCTACATTACTGTTTGTGAATTCTACACAACTGCTGTGTAAACAAAGAAGTAAAAAAAAAAAAAAACCAATAAACTAAAGAAAATTAAAGATTAATTTGTGAGTCTAAAACTAAGACAACCAGTAAAGGGAAAAATCTATTGATTACTATAATATAGGTTCTCAATAATCTGTGGTATTTTAGCCACATTGTTCCTCTGGGATCATACTGATTTTAATTAGGCTTTAATCTGTTTATTGTGAACACACAGGTTAAGAAAGAGGGTAAACTTACCTATCAGAGCAGTAATCCTTGGTGAAAGACAATGTCCATTCCCTATGGAAAAGCAAGGAGGAAGAATAGAAACAAGAGACACAAGAATAAAAATGTATTTAAAGACTCATCTTATATTTCTAACATCAGCTGATACTGGTTGATGATTTAATAAACCAACAGTATATTTACATTAAAAAAATTTAATTTTTTATTTAACTTTGTCTTAAGTTTGAACAATTATATCTGTGTGTACTTTGAGAGTATGTTCGACCAAAGTCATTTTCTTTTCTTGTGTGCATAAACTTCAACATTAAAGCTCTTACAGTTGAAATGCTGTAACATATAGTGACTGCACTTTTATAGTACAACGCCACTGGTTTGTGACTTGTAAAAGCAAGAAGAAATCATCAATTATTTTATCAATAAGAGAGCCAGATGGGAACCCTATTTACTTAGAGCCACAAGAAGATAAATGAGCAAAAAAATAAAAGATAAAAAAAGAGATCTTAAAAAGTAGACTTGGCCCTTTTTAAATATAGCTAAAACCCTCTAACCCAAATCTTAAACCTCAACTTTAAGGAAATAAAATTTACTTTTTGTCTACAGGAATTTAATTAAATGATTTCTTCCCCTTTCAGTTGTCATAATAGCACACCTGATTACACTTCTGTTGTTTTTTTCTTAATTTAAGCAGAGATCGTAGCTCCAAAAATACATTCTCATACCTATATCAAAACCCAAAAGTTACATATTTGGATGAACATTCAATAGGAACCTGTAATTTGACAAGCTTTGTACCTGCAGGGGATGTTTTGGTGGCAGTAGTAGCAGTAGTGGTGCCAGTAGTAGTAGTAGTAGTAGTAGTAGTAGTAGGAGTAGGAGTAGGAGTAGTAGTAGTAGTAGTACTACTGGTAGTAGTAGTAGAAGGAGCAGCTGTTGTGGTGTTGGAAGGAGGTGCAGTCGACACTTCAGTTTCTAAAAAAGCAGAATTGAATTAAAGATATTATCATCATTTCACCAAATATCCTGGGGGGAAAAAAAACAAAAAACGCCCTCCTTTAACCTTTAGGCTACCATTCCTCACTTTAAGAACTATAAAAAAACACAACTTCATAAATTAAGAGTTCTGTCTAATGTTCCTCAGTAAAGATGAAATTCCTAAAAATGAAAAAGCGCAGCATATTTCATTTCAGGGACAGAACCTTTTTTAAGCCCATATAGAATTTCGTTGGAGCCACACTGTAACAACTGCAGCACATGCTCCGTCAGCCTGAGAAGAATCTTAAAAGAGGGTTTATGTTGTTTTCTTGTTATTTTAGCATTTCAGAAATATGCAGGTTTCTTTTTTTATTATAATGGTTTAAACTGGACACATCCTGGTAGAAATAGTCTGACAATACCAATATGCCACAGGAAAACCTTCAACCTTTGAAATCCTTTTGTTGTTCGACCTCTGATTTCTTTTTTGTTGCACCACAGAGAAAAAAGGTCACACTTGAGACCAAACGTTGCTAAATAAAGCAAATCGATCTGCACATGACCACAATACCTCGACAGAGGCAAACTGTTAAGTTTCTGTTAATACATCTACATGCAGTGATGGGACTAACGGCGTTGAAAGTAACGGCGTTACTAACGCCGTTACCTTGTTTTAGTAACGAGTAATCTAACTAATTACTTTGACTGTAACTATAACGCAGTTACCATTGCAGGCACCCCGTTACTGCGCGTTACTCAGGTCGCACAATGAACCTTTTTTCATGATAGGACTCGTGCGCAGCTGCGTGAAGCTGACACCCCACCCACGTCAAAAAACTCTGCAAATAGACTGAATGGTTAGTGCAACGTTAGTGCAGAAAAAAATATTGTTTGTGCTACTTTTGTTTAAGAGATATTAAAGATTTATTTTAGGTCATCCAGAGGTGCACGCCTTGTCCTGAGAGGGGAGGATGAGAATGGCTGATGAATAGTGAGATTCCGTCTGTCAGTTGAATAGGTGGGTGTTTCTGCTGGCGGGTGTTAACGTACAGCACACACAGAGAGATGGAGAGTGAGGATGACTCCAGCAGCAAAACAGCGTTTTCCACATGGAAATACCGGTGTTACGTAGAGCTGCGTTTCCCCATCACATAACGGTTTCCTCTGCATCTCCACACAGCGCAGGCGGCAAGAGTCACCGCGCAAGCGACAGGAAACGCGCATGCTCGCTAAATGCGCGCAACAGTCGCCCTGTGCTCGCGCCACAGGAGAACTATGGAGAGCGTGAACGATCAAATGAATCTGACAACAGCCAGAAATGATAGCCTATATGGAGAAAGGGAGAAATCTGGATGGATGGTTGGATGGATGGATGAATGGATGGATGGATGGATGGATGGATGGATGGATGGATGGATGGATGGATGGATGGATGGATGGATGGATGGATGGATACTCTGCCTTCTCAACTTACTGTTTTTTTATTTTAAACAATATTTGATGGCCTTTGTGGCAGGGATGGAGATCCATATTTTATGTCACACACAGAGTATACATCTAGATAGATAGATAGATAGATAGATAGATAGATAGATAGATAGATAGATAGATAGATAGATAGATAGATAGATAGATAGATAGATAGATAGATAGATAGATAGATAGATAGATAGATAGATAGATAGATAGATAGATAGATAGATAGATAGATAGATAGATAGATAGATAGATAGATAGATAGATAGATAGATAGATAGATAGATAGATAGATAGATAGATAGATAGATAGATAGATAGATAGATAGATAGATAGATAGATAGATAGATAGATAGATAGATAGATAGATAGATAGATAGATAGATAGATAGATAGATAGATAGATAGATAGATAGATAGATAGATAGATAGATAGATAGATAGATAGATAGATAGATAGATAGATAGATAGATAGATAGATAGATAGATAGATAGATAGATAGATAGATAGATAGATAGATAGATAGATAGATAGATAGATAGATAGATAGATAGATAGATAGATAGATAGATAGATAGATAGATAGATAGATAGATAGATAGATAGATAGATAGATAGATAGATAGATAGATAGATAGATAGATAGATAGATAGATAGATAGATAGATAGATAGATAGATAGATAGATAGATAGATAGATAGATAGATAGATAGATAGATAGATAGATAGATAGATAGATAGATAGATAGATAGATAGATAGATAGATAGATAGATAGATAGATAGATAGATAGATAGATAGATGTTGCAGTATCTATAAAAACCCAAACACACAGGATTTCAGAATTAGACATCCCCAGTTATTAATTTCATATACTCACCGGATCTGAATGTCCTGTTATAAAACTTCACATGGCGTTCCCCCCTGATGTCATTTACGTTGAGTTGCAATAAATGCTAAACTCTCTGCAGGTTCTTGTCTTTGTCGTCCGCTCTATTCAGCTGGCTTTGGAAACACACGGCGAGAAGGTGGGGGCTGGGTGGTGAGGTTTACGGGGGCGAGAAACTCAAAAGTAACGCAATAGTTACTTTTACTAGTAACTAGTTACTTTTATTGTGGAGTAACTCAGTTAGTAACTCAGTTACTTTTTGGGAGAAGTAACTAGTAACTATAACTAATTACTTTTTCAAAGTAACGTGCCCAACACTGTCTACATGACAGTATTAAATACTGTATACTATCACACCACACTAACAGCAAAGCTCAAAACTTTGAAATGCACCTCTTATGTCATTAACAGACAGCGGGGCCCTCTGAAAATCCAATAATTAAAAATTAAATGACTGCTGTGGAGTCATTTTTGTTCTATTATTCTTGAAAACAAAAAAAAATACTTTTTTGTGAATAGAAACTTTTTAAAAAATACAATTTCGTAAACTTATTTATATAATAGAAACGCAATCCAGAAATGCAACTGAAAAATGTTTTAATCAAAAAATGTTGAGAATAACATTGCTGGGGCTTTTTTCAGATTTTTTTTTCTAATTCGTTTCAAATTATTTAATTTAATATCACAATTTCACAGTTTAAAACTTTACAAAAATATATTGAAAATATTTTTTTTAAATTTTATTCTTTCAAATTTATTTTTTCAAATTATTTTTTCAGTAGTTTTTTTGCATATTTTTTTTAAGCCCAACACAAACTTTGCTCTTGACATGAACATTGACCAAAACAATGTTGTTGCTGACATCTATGCAGAACAACAGGAATGATCCTCAATCCAGAGGAAAGGCCAACCTCCAAAACGAAGAGAAAGTGATCTTTAAAGGCAACTTAATCTGAAAAAAGCATCTATATTTGAAAAAGAATATCTATAAAATATGTTAAAAAAAAAAAAATATTAGAAATTTTAAAATCTGTAAAAATTGTAAAAACAAAAATAAAAAAAGAGGCAACACAAAAAGTGAAAACATGAATTACCCTTCAAACCTTTTTTGTATTAAAACATTTCTCAAATGTTTCTTAGACTGTATTGTTTTAAATTTCCATTTAAAAAATGTGTTCTTTGCTTAGAACAATAATGGAATAAAAATGTACTCAATAGCCTACAAAGAAGTAAAAAATGTGCAACACCTAAATCATACCGCCCATGTGCCAAGCTTTTCTAGCATTTTAAAGATTATTGCATGTGTGTTAAGGTGATTTTAGGAGACGGGAAATTTAAGCTATTATACTAGCTGTACACTGACTACTGTAGTTCAGATCGGTTTATAGTTTCTTCAATATTAAAAGATATAATACAACATATACAAAAGACTGATGAGTGTGTTTAACTTTGTGAGATTCTCGTAAGCATTTCCGATGCTCGACTTACTTATGCAGCTTGGTAACGCTGGAGACCACTGACTGTCTATGGTGCAGGTTATGGTAGACGATCCATGTAAATTGTATCCATTTTCACAGCTGTATGTCACGCTGGCCTTGTATCTGTGTGGAGGACGAGAACCTCGTACGTAGACAGCATGTGTAATTACAGGATCCTCACATTCAACCCCTTAAAGTAAATGGAAAGGAAAACATTACTGTAACAACAGTAATCATAATTATGGTAACGGATCTGAGACTAAAAACAGCAGAACACTTACAGACACAGGTTGGAGGGTCAGGATGGAATTTCCCATCTTCAGAGCAGACTAACTCACTTGATCCATTGCGCACAAAATCTTTGTTGCAGTCATACTTCACAACACTGTTGTATTCATAGTTTTCTTCCAGTGGTGTAAATGTACCATTTACAACTCCATCTGGTGTAACACATCGAATCACTGCAAAGGAAAATCATTTCTGTAAGACCTGAAACACATTTCAATTAATTTCAATTTCATATAAGATGAACTCAACATAAAGGTGACCTACCTTCACAAGTTGGTGGTCTGCCTGCCCATCCCTGGTCTTCACACCTTAAAACTGGATTCCCAACTAAGTTGTAACTAATTAGTTGGTGGAAAATACAAAGAAAGCGAATGAAACTCAGAAAAGCCCTTCAACAGCACTGACAGACTAGCAAACAGGATGAACATCCACTTTGATTTTAACCTCTAAGGCCTTAAAAAGTGTACTAATTCACTGTGAGACATTCCAATAAATAACTAGTTAAAGGCACACTATGCAACATTTTTCAGTTAATTAATGTGTTCCATAACGTTTTGGATGATTAAATGAGTCATTTCAGGTTGAACAAAGGTATTCTCGGCCGCCCTGGTGGTCTGTGGGGGAAATACCGCACTTGCAATTGCAGGAGCCCTCGGCCCGCACCCACAGGCTCAGAAGTCTCGCGGAGTCGGTCTTGCTTTACGGCGAGAAATGCTACACGCCCCCAGTTAAAAGCATGCTCGTTGCTAGCACAGTGGCGATCTTTGTGCAGTTATCATGGCAGGCAAGAAAGAGGAAAAGGGCTTCAGACAGAGAGAGGAGTCGTTTCTCGCGTTTCTGCTGATGCGATTGTAAGCAACATTGGAATGGTTTCTCTCTCTCTGTGTGCATGTTCATAGTTTCACTGTGTTAGTCATTCGTTGCGTTCGCCTGTCTGCTAAGCTCAAAACAACCGTGCCTGGCTTGAAGGAGAAACCACTACTACTTTCGCCCTCTGGGGGGAGCCTTGCTGGAAATTCAACACCGGTTGCATAGTATACCTTTAAACAGTCCCATTATCTGCTAAACAAAAAAAGAGAAAATGAAGAAACAGCAAATATAAAATACTGCAGATTAGGTTCAACAACAGAGGGTCGAACATTAACTCATCTGCTACATTTAATTACTTATTAGAATTTTAAAACAACTAATGTTAACTGAATATTCTTCTACAGCATTGGGTGCATGTAAACACAATGGCAGGAAGATACCATCTAGCATCGAGCTGACTAGCACAGGTTGCTTTAATCATTCTTGTTAAAAGGATTAAACATGAAGCCCATCATTCAACAGTAGGACTGGTTATTACAAATGGAAAAAAAAACTACAACTAGGTATGAACAATAATTCAATATCAATGTATATCACAATATAATTTTATTCAATAAAAGTGATATGAGATCTCCAATATTTCAATAGACTTCACAGTCTACAGTATGTGTATTTGTCACTGACTGACATTCTGGGTTTTATATAGTTTTGTTTTTTTGTTTTTAAAGAAAATACTTTTAAAATATTAAAAGTCATACATTGTACAGGATTCTGTTGTGGGTATACTTGGCTGTCTTTCTGAAGCTTTTATTTTCTTTATATTGGTATGGAAAATATATCGTATGAACTGAACATAAAATATATACATTTTGGTCGTATCATCCAGCCCTACCTAAAACAGTTTGAAATCATAAAGCAGAGTAATGTTTTAGTTTTCACACATATACAAAAGAATATTTTCATCGCTCACATTCAGTAGATAGAAAGTTATGACTTTAGTACTAACCCCTTTCTACACTCGTATTTAACTGTATCACCAAACTCAGCCGTGGTGTCCCCATACTGACCAAACTCCACTTCTGGAGGAGCGCCACAGCTCTTCTCTGAAACAAAAACAAAGGAAGAAAAATAGCTTTAATGCATTTTAATTAGGAGTTTGCCTTTCTTTTTTAATCGTGAAAGGTTATATTATTATGAAACATCTCAAAATAATCAACTTAGAAGGCACATATGTTAGGTAGCCACAATTAAAATTACTTATGGAACATATTAAACACTCTTAGAAGAACACATATTTACATAGAAATGTTATATGTAGTGTTATATGTGAATAAAGTACAGCTAGTGCAGGTACAGTCTATAAAATGGTTTGAAGCTGTGTATTATTGTCACTCTGTGTGTGTATAGTAGGTGAAATAGTTTCTCTGCTACATAATTGTAGATGGAAATATTTACTCTCGCATTTCAGCAGCACAGGACTCCATGAGCCGGCAGTGCATGTGACCTTTCCAGATCCTCCAGCAGATTCATAGCCAACATTACATTTAAAATAAACCACAGCCCCATCCTCAAATGTATCCTGGGTGATGTAGTCATCTTTTAAGTTCATGTTTGGTCCTCCAATGGGTGCGGAACATTGTTGGGCTAGGGAACATTTCAATAAATGATTAAATTAGTTGAGAAGATTGGAATGAAGACTGAAAGCACTTCAACAATTGATAGGTTGTGCATGCTCAGTGTTCCTATTGGGACTCACCTTGAACAATGTAGACAAAGCAAAGGCTACTTAATAGAAAAAGAGCAGGAACACCCATGGCAGGATCTGGTACTGTAATCCAGTGACAATAAGCACTATCTGGAAAATGAGGCCAGAAAATGTAAATGAGAAAGAAGTTTAACAAAAACAATCAGACATCAAGGTATAAAGGTTGCTACTCCTGAACAAGAACAGGCAATAGTATTAAGATCTACAAAAGAATAACAGAAACCAAAACCTGTTAGATTTTTAGACTTGGCATTTCCAGGAATAAAGTACTAATGTCTCAGCATGATCTGAAAAAAAACTAATCCATGTGTTTATTTTTAGTCGAATTGATTACTGCAATGATGTTTTAACAGGTCTGCCTAAAAAGTGGATCAGACAGCTGCAGCTGATCCAGAGCACTGCTGCCCGTGTCCTCACTAAGACTAAGAAAGTAGAGCACATCACCCCAGTTCCAAAGTCCTTACACTGGCTCCCTGTATCTCAGAGAATAGACTTTAAAATACTTCTGTTAGTCTATAAATCTCTGAATGGCTTAGTACCTAAATACATCACAGACTTGCTATCAGTGTATCAACCATCCAGACCACTCAGGTCTTCTGGCTCCAGCCTGCTCTGCATACCTAGAACCAGAACTAAACATGGAGAAGCAGCATTTAGTTCCTATGCTCCACTTATCTGGAACAAACTTCCAGAAAACTGTAAAAGTGCGGAAAGTCTGGGTTCCTTTAAATCAAGACTAAAAACACATTTGTTTAGGATTGCCTTCGACTGTTCTAGTTAAACAGTTCAACTGAAACATTATTAGTTCAACTTTTTTATTTCTTTAGTCCAACAGTTTTTAATGTTCTTTTTTGTTTCTGCATTTTTTTCCTACTTGCTTTGATTCTGTTTTATTTTCCTATATTTTAATCATGTAAAGCACTTTGCATTGTCTTTGTACTGAATTGTGCCATACAAATAAATTTGCCTTGCCTGCCTTGCCTTACTAAACCACTTCATATATGTTGACCTCTAAGTTCAGCTGATTTTCAGCAGCTCCTTTATTTGTGTACTGTGTTTGTTAAATCCAACCCATCAAATAGTGTCGTTTTAGTCCGTGGCATCTTACTGACTGTCTTGAATTGAGTAAAATATCTTGCTCATATGTTGACAGATGGCGTATCAGATCTTAAGGACAATTACTGTTGTATGCTTAACACAAAAGCTAATGTAATTATTTTGGATATGATTGTATGAATTTAAATTAAGCTCAGCCAGTTTAATTTTGAGCTAATTGGATTATTATAATTCAGTAAGATTTTTGTTATAAAAGTCCAAATGGTCCAGTGCCAGTGAACCATTTGTGTCTGCTGTTTTAGCTCTTATGTCTTTAAGAGGTACGACAGGGAAAGGGATGTGAAGGACGCCATTTATGTTAAAGCTACAGTGTGTAATTTTCAGCGACATCTAACGTCCAGACTGCAGACCGCAGCAACATGAACATCTCCCCCCCACCGCTTCTCCCCCCCCAACAGTACGGCGAGCGTTACGGGACAAAATGTCTTCCACGACGTCCTCATCACCTACCTTCTCAAGTGATGAGGTTTGTTTACATAGATAATTTTACAGACAGTATTTCATTAGTCTGTGTAGGGTATAGATTTCATGTAGACTTAAGATAATAAATATACCCGTAATGGGCGATCTCGCAATCGCTAGTTTGTTGGCTCTGCGCTGCCGTAGCGCAAAGATGTCTGCCTCCATGGCTGCGAGACCCGCTCCTATGTAATTATAAATAAGGAATTCTAAGGCAACGCAAATATTAAGGTTAAGAGGCTGAGCTCGTAGATAATGATAAAAAACATAGTTATGTATAATATATTACATTTCTGACTGTATATCCCTGTAATTATTACACACTGTAGCTTTAAGAGAGAAAAAAAACCTTAAACAGAGGGGGTGGACTCGGGTTTCAGCTCTAACCTCAAACTCCTTCCTGCTATCATCTCAACCCCTATCGCCATGCAGAGGACCAAAACATCTCGCCTGCTCACACAGGCCAACAGTGCCCCTAACGACTCTCTTTTCAGAGGCATAGGCCAGTATCGGGTATTGCAGGCTAACAAAGATCTCAATTGACTCCCCATTCCTAAAGGGTGGACCTGTTCTTTGGGTCCAATTTGCATGTTTTCTAAGCCAAAACAAGGTTTGAGCTACTCTATAAAACTTGGAACTCAATGCTTATTCTGGCATTTTGAATTGGATGGGAAGCAAAACATCTTCAAACTTAGAAAACAAAGTCCAGTGGTTTGTTTTTTTAGGTTTTTGGAATGATTAATTCGATTAATTGTTTCAGCCCTTAATATGAGTAAAATTTAATTAATAGACCAGTACACATTTGGGTATTTTAAAAACTAAAATAAAAAAGATAAAGTAATATTAAATATTACTACTTATAATAATCAATAAAGTATGTAAAGAAGCTTCTATGAAACATTGTAAGGCTGCTGGACGTATTATACTCGCCACTGGGTGTCGATGAGGTAAAAAAACTGAAGATGGAATTTCCCTTTAATATTGATTGAGCTGTTTGAGCACATCATACCACATGTAAACGATGAAGAGATTTGTAGAGGAAGATGTGGTGATAAGTCAGTAATGCATATCAACCACAGAGGAAAACGTTGACACCAGCTGCATGCAGCCAGTCACAAAGACGTTCCTGTACAGCAGGGGTAACCAATTAAAAATAAGGGTCCGAATAAAGAAAATCATCGACCAGTAAAGGTCAGGAGACCTTTTTAATGATCTGTTACTTTAAACAGAATTTAACACTGAAATAAAATGAGGTTTATATATATATATATATATATATATATATATATATATATATATATATATAAAATAGAACAGTTTGGTATATAGACAATTTCCTGATTCACATATTTTATACACACCTGTACTGACTGTTTATGTATTTTTCATTTTATAGCTTAATGAGAGAAGTGGGCTTTATGTTGCCCTTCAAGGTTTTTTAAAACTGGGCTTGATTGGCAACAAAGCCATTCTCAAGCACATAGCAAGGTGCTCATTTGTGAGCCTGGATCGATATTTACTTTGATTATGTTCATGGAGGTTGAGCCAAACATACTCAAAATGTGACTTGCAGGTAAATGAAGAATGAATTTCTTCATCTCCCCACCCCCCTCTTTTAATTTTTGTAAATAAAGAGTAAATATGACCAAATCCACAGGATTTGTTGTTGATGATGAGAGGAATAAGCACAGTTAAAGACTTGCAGGTACATTTACTTCTTCCCATGGAGGATGAACAGATTATTTCAGGCAGCTGAAACATCCATTATCTCCTCTCCTCCTCCCACATCTTTGGGAAATAAAGAGCAACTGTTTCCAATTTCTCTAAAATTGATATGTGTGATGTGGTATACTATAAATGTCCTTAATCCAGTAATCTGTCATGTTTTACATCAGAAGGGGATTAACCAGAAATTCTACTCTCATCTTCGCAGTACGTCTTAATTTGTGTACCCTGCTATCAGCCAGTTTCCATCCTCTTATATCAGCAATGAAAAATTTAAAATACACTACGTGTTGTTGTGTTTGGTGACTGACGTTTATTTCTGTCAGGCTGAAGAGACAGAAGTTGGAGAAATACCGATTCTCTTGGCGTTTAAAAAACAACACAAAACAGCGTAAGAAGACCTCGTTAATGTATTTATTTTACAAATTTGTAAAAAGAGCAACCGATTAAACTGAATGTTACAAAGTTGACATGATTATAGCTGTTTTTACCGAAAAATGATCAGGAGCGCCTCTCTGGCTGCAATGCGCGCTCCCGACACAGGGGGAACAGGTTTTCACAGGGAAACATAATTTCGCACAACACCGTCGTTCCCCTTTAATAAAATTCTACTTTAGGAATTTTAAATATTTTTTTTACTTAATTTAAGTTAAAATTACCATTTTCTATAAAATCTGAATTAGAACTCAAGAAAAAAAGATAAATTCAGCTGTAAAAATTAGAGTATTTTTTTGTTGTTGAAAAAAGCCATTTAGCAGATGAAAACTGGGATCCTATCTCAATACCACTGAAGCTATCATCTTATTGTTTTTAAATTATTAGTAAAACATAGGCCTAAGACCTCTCAGTAACCATGTCTGTTCCAGCGCTTATCATCATTAAAATGTATTCTAAGTATTATTTCTTCAGTACAGGGGCTAAAACCGCCCATGAACCCATCATATATTTAGAAGTAACGACAGAGCATTAAAAAAAACACGGCATATACATACAATACGCAACAACCCGTTTCCTGGTATCTTGCGTTAGAACGAAAAATGAATCACAACTTAGACGCAGTTTTATAAAAAAAAAAAAAAAAAGTAGGCATGTTGAAGCTGTCAACAGCTTCTTTAGTTCATCTGAGGTCAGTAGAGAGGATCTGAACCTGCTGCAATTAACGACATCAGGTTCAGTTCAGCGGTCATCATAAACATTACAGAAACGGAGAATGACACTTTCTAACATGTTGAAAGCCAAATATAACAGATTAGGACCTACCAGACTGGAAGAAGACGCAGAATGATTATGCTGGCGGAGACTTCCTCTTGTTCTGCTCTGAGGGCGTCATCGGGAAGTCACACTTTTAACGTAACAGGAAATACATAATTTTCGTAGACTTTGAACCGTTACAAATCAACACTAGTCAAAACATTTATTATTACTCCACCTGCAGATTATCTCTTAGAGTTAATTGGGTTGGTTTTGGGGTCCCATTTTGATTTAATTAAGAGGTAATCTGATCTGTGAAAAATAAATCAGTTAAAATTAGGGATTAAACGAAAAAAAATGAAATTTGATTCTTTAAGGTGTCTTTTAAATAAAAAACAAAACAAAACAAAAAAAAAGCAACAAAAAATAACGGAAGTTCATATAGAAATGTACCATACCCAGTGGCGTACATAGACATTTTTGGGGCTGGTGCTCAGGTTGGAAAAAGAGCACCTGTCATATGGAGCCACCAAAAGCCTGATGTTTATCTTCTGCAATCCATAGGTAGCAATGCCACATGTGTGTCACTTCAAAGAATAATCATTTCAAATCCACTAATACAGTGGAATGGTCATGGATATAGTGATCTACCGCTTATAGTGTTCAAAAGGCTTGGGACAGAATAATTTCTATACAAACGCTGTTTAAATCATTTGTTTATGGTAATCAAGAAATCTGCTTACAGTGTTCATTTTTGGCCATTTTATGAATGTAAACATGTGCAAAAATAATTAATAAGTGGATCGAAAGTGATGATAGCACTCCGGTGTAAGAGCCCGTGACGGATGAGAACATCATCGCGGAGGTATAAGAGCGCTTATCTTCTATGTTGTTGTTCAACATATTCTCATTATCAGTTCGTATGAAATCATATGAAAAATTATGCACAGTATTTCGTACGTTTTCAACGTTTTTCCTCGAAAAAACATGTCAGTGTGCATGCGCAGCCAGAGAGACGAAAAAAGCAGATCCGCAGACGGACGTAAAACTGGGACGGACAGTGCAATAATTACTTCATGATGTCTCTCACAAGGTTGCTTGCTGTTTTGTATCTTAGGGTTAGGTTTAGGGTCAGGGTTAATTGTATGTTAAATTGTATGTTATTGAATGGTGCGTAAGATGCGCAAGGATATCTTGTCTCGAGGCAAGACGTAAAAATACGACAAAATACGACGAAAAAAACATCAAAAACGTTCGAAATACTGTGCATAACTTTTCGTACGATTTAATACGAACTGATAATGAGAATACACTGCGTTGTTCTACGAAACCCTTTGTTTCGAACTTTAGACTTGTTAAAAGAAAATAAAAAATGCACCTGCGGCACCAGGCTACCAGAGTTATGTCTGCTCAAAGTGCAGTATATTGTAATTAAACTAACATGGTACGGTTATAAAATTCAGTAAATGCAGAAGCTATCTTTTTATTTCATTTTTTCCTCATTGAAAAACCACACAAATTGCATTTAGATTATATTCTGCAAATTCGGATAAAGTAATGAACCGCTTATAGTGTTCAAATTTGCTCTGGACCAGGATTCCAGAATGTCTTTCAGTTTATTGGGTATATATGACAATTTGAAGATAAACTAATATTTACATTTAAAATATAAAAAAAACACAACTCTATTATCTGATTCCACTGACAGATCACTATTAAAGGAACATTTTTTTTTACAATTGTGGATGATAACTTCCTTATACTTAAGTTTCTTAGTTTTATAACGAATGGCAACGGTGTCAAATTTAACTTTGAATCATCTTGTAAAACTATTTATTTTGGTTTTTGGCAAACAACAAGTTGGTGCAGTATCGAAACCAACCACAAAGAAATTAATTGTCTGGATGAAACTAATTATTTTGATGTTTTTTAAATTTTTTTTTATACCAACACACCATAATGAAAATGAGTTTTAATTTAACAAAACTAACAAGTCTTTTTTTAAACATAAGGAGCAGAAAGTAGTGATAATAGCAAAAAAAAGTTCAGGAGTAGAAGTAAAAAGCTGTCTAAAAAGAATTACTCCAGTAAAGTATAGATAGCCAAAATTTCTACTTAAGTAACAAAGTATTTGTACTTTGTTACTTGTCACCTCTACCCATTTCTCGCCTGGCACTTTAACCTTGCTACCAATTGGCAACATTCATTATAAACTTTCATCATAACCCTTTTAAGCACACTTCATGTCTACTTGAATCCAAGGTTGTCAGAGGTTATGTTGTTATAGTTATAAAGACTCTCAGAAAACTTTCAGTGAGACTTTAAAGAAAATGAATCTTTCCTTCTAACAATCTGGCTGTGCAGAACAACAGATCTAAACAACCTACTGTAAACACCACATGAATTTCAGGAAGTTATGGATTGCGCACTGTCCTGAGTCACTCCAGACTGACCTACATTATCGGACCACTCCTTTATAAACCACCACTCCTTTATAAACCACCACTCCTTTATGAATAACCACTCATTTAGAAACTGTTAGTCTTTTATAACTCACCACTTCTTTATGAACCACCACTCCTTTATAAACCAGTTCCTCCTGCTCATTGAGAATGACTTCATAATTGTAATTCACCTACAATGCCACCTTCTTGGATTACAAGACAATAATAATATACAAGTGACTAGGTCCCATTTTTTTACTTAGTGCAGCTGTAACTGCAAAAGAAACAAAAAAAAAGATCCCATAACTTTGTAGGTATATTGTTGTATTATAAATCTAGTCACAAATGCATCATTATCTATTTCCACACTGTGTTAGAAAAAAAAAAGTGATCAAAACTCTTCTTAGAGGCTGATGTGGTTTAATTTAGTCTGTGATATACATTTCCGTATCTTTCCAAGAGGCTCTCCGTCACAGACTGGTGTTGGGCCTGATAGGTCCCTATACGCAAGATAACCTTCTAAAGTATATGTTTAAAAAAAGATAGGATAATGTTTGTTTAATAAAGGTATTTAAGAATAAATTCATATAATGTTATCTGTAGTGTTGATCATGAGAGAAGCCTATGTTTTTATCTGGACAATATCCTAAGTAGATATTCAAAGGAGCTAACGGCAAAATGGAAAACACAAACTTAACCTCAAAATGTATTTCTCCTTAGTGAATTTTGTTTCCCCGTTGAGTTTCCAGGTGGCAGAATTAACATCAAGATGTTGAATGCATTCTCTACAGACTAGACTAGGGGGTTTCTATCACTGAAACATGCAAAGTCTTTTGCAAATCAAGTGTTTAACCAGTCATAAATACATCCTGTAAAACTTTTGCATAGTGAACCTTGCTTGAAAAAGAATATTTGCATTTTGTTAGACTAATTGTGGAGAAGATTATATTAAATTCATTTGAAACAGGTTCAAAGTTCTGTGTATGTGTATCACATACTGTGTAATTTAACAACGCTTTACAGTGACACAAAATACCTGCTCATCTACACTTGGTCATGTTATTGTTCATCTATTAACAGGCAAGTTACTAATTGGAGCCGAAAGAATTAGCTTTCTAGACATTTTTTGACCACAAGAAAAGATAAACAGTGAATAGCAATGATAGGTTAAAGGGAACCAATCGTTTTTTTTTTTTTTGTTGTTGTTTTTTCACGGATGCTCGTTTATCAAAGCTATTTGAGATATTTCATTATCTAAATTTATCATGAGTAACTTCTTTATATTGTAGAGTAATATCTCTTTGAATTTTACTTTTAAAAACATTTTAGATAAAGATATTGGTAGGTTTCTGTTTAACCATTAAAATGCTTCAACAGCATGAGTTTTCAAAATATTTAGCCAGCATCAGTTAAGACAGGCTAAGTCTGCTGAAGTTCAAAGGACTCTGCAGTGGAGGTTAGATCTAATCAATGGACTACAGCCGTATCAGGCCTCAGTAAGCAAACTCGCCTTAGATCTTAAACAGCAGTCGAGCCAGTGAGTGTCATGTTGCTTTGTAATTTTTTGAACCACATGCAGAATCACATGGACACCCAGTGGGTTTTAACGTTTTTATTTACAAAAAGCAACATATCAAAAGCAGAATTTGAACTACAGGAAGTCGGTTGAACTTTCTGAGTGATCTTAGGGGAGAAAGCAGAAGGATTAGGAAGGAATTGGTTAATGACAACTGATGACTGAACGATTTGCTTACTTGAGAGATGGAGAGAAGGTACCATGGATCTGTAGGGGTTTGATTCAGTGGGCTTTGCAGACTGTACCCCAGTGGTCCAGGAGAATGTGAGTGAGAGACGCCATCCTAGAGACCAGGCAGGTGATAAAGACTGAGAACTACTGCACATAGATGAGACCTTTTCCATGAAGATCGGAGACAAACTGAGGTTCACTGTTTGTCTGGAGCAATAACAGAGTTCACATTAAAATAAATTAACAAGAAGACAAATTTCAACAAGAAAGATGTTCCTGGATTAGATCTTTAGTTGGAATACAACCAAGGGTAATCATTGAGCGAAGAGAGAGATGATCTGCGCCTTGTGTTATAGTTATCTAGACAGAGAAACGTTCTCGTAAAAGGAAGCTTATTCACACCAGAAAAACAGCAAAACCCCATGGACCCTAACAGTGAGAGATATTAGTATATCATACAGGAAGTCATAATAATACACTCCTATTGGTGCTATCTTGCACTACTTTGAAAAAAACCCCACAATGAATAGAAACATGTATATAAAAGATTGGAGCCTTAAGCTAAGTAGAATAAACAGGAAAGCAAAAGGGCTTGGGGCTCAATTAAAATACCAGAGGTAAATGATTGAAAGGTCTGTTTTATATGGAAAGATAAAATCATTTACAATGTGCAGCCCAGTGGAGAACACTCCTTCACTAAGTCAATGATAATAAAACTTTCAATTTACAAATGTGATTTTCGTGTTTTCGTGCATGTTCTCCCCATGCATGTATGGGTTCTTTCTGGGTACTCCAGCTTCCTCCACAGTAAACGAAAGCTGACTATTAATTTACTTGTAGTTTCTAAAATATAGCCAAGGCGTATATTCAACTTTGAAGACTCGGTGGCTACGTTCACATTGCAAGTGCTAATTAAATCCATTTTTTTTTTTTACTTCTTTAAGGAAACTTTTTTTTTTTTTTTGTCATTCACATTCCCTGTAAATTGTGGCCGCTATAAAACTGACCTCTATGCACATAAAAACAATAACACTTTGTCAAACACAATACAACATTAAACACGGGTAAATAAATGTAATGTTTTAATTGCACAACAGAAGGGATTTACTGTGTCGGCAACTGCTTCCAGGGAAGGCATGCTAAATTTTCAGCCAACCACTAAGTCAGGAATGAGAGAAAAAGTGTGACTGCAGTACTTCTGGATAAATTACAGGCCCGCAAAGCTAGATTTATGGGGTAGATTGCATCTCCTAACTCCACTTCTGCTGGTTTTGTTGCAAGCAAACTGTTCAACGATCAAACAGGTAGTTCTCTTATGCAGGTATGTGAACGTTTTTTTTATCCCAAATCTCAAAATAAAAATATCACCAAAAATCAGATTTCTTTATTGTGTTTCTATAATTTCATCAATGCAACAAAATGTAATATTTTAATAGTGTAATGGGATTTATACTTAAAGCACCAAATACCGTATAGCAGAATAGTCACATCATGTGACATTTGCTCCAGGATAAACATTTAATCATGAATGCTTATTAAATATTTAAGCCCACATAGTCCTTTTTTACACTTGGAGCCTGTTGTGCCATACATTGCTTATATAAGACCTCCAATTTTCAGTTTTGTTTTTTGTTTTCTTGGTCCAAAATGGCTCTTTGAACAGTTTGGGTTGCCAAACCCAGACTTACACTAAAGGCTTTTGGGCATCAGTTTGTTCAAATACTTCATAACATTCACTAACCTCTACAGCATTTTAAAGCCCTCTGTTTGAATGGTTGTGAACGAGAGTTACAACAAACCCTATTCCCTATATCCTGGTGGTTCCCATAAATCTTTTAGTTAGGCCTAAAAAAAAGTTTTAACTCTGTTTTTTTTGTTTTTGTTTACAAGCCCTGAAGTATTGATGTATCTCCACCATGTTTCACTGCAAATGTTACAGGATATAATCCTGAGTAATTTGACTTTAATAATATTATGTTTATTCATTTTCATTTTTAGGATTTTTTTAATTTGGTTTAAAATGTACAAATGGAAAAGATGGGTTTTATTTGGAAAAGAGGATAGTTTAGTGTGATCGCCTGAAGGATCCACTAGGGGGACTCAGGTGTTTTTCTTCCCTTACTCAATAAATACAAGTGAATGGAGAAGCAGCAATGGGGTCTTTTGGTGTCATTTTCTTATACTTTTAACCTTCTTTAAAGGAATAACACAAAGAGTATGTTTTTTTTTTTTTTTGACAAAAATTTATTTAACTTTGATTTGTGCAGGTATGAAAATTCGCCAATAGAAAAGGATGAAAAAAATAACCTGTTATTTTAACTGCATGATATACTACATGATATATTTAGGCCAAAATACTCATTATATTGTCAGATCTACCTGCTTAAAAAAAGGATGTAGTATTTATCACTTCAATGATAATATCCCAGCTTCCATGGTCTCCTTTTAGAATGAGAATCCAGTTTATTGCCAAGTAGGTGTACACTTACAAGGAATTTGATTTGGTGCTGATGGTGCAGAGAAATTTGATATATAAGAGTTAAATTGTAAAACAAAACAAAAGAGTTTGCACCAACACACCAAGGTAGCCATATGCGGCAAAATCTTAGGTAGATATTATCTTAGGTATGATATTACATCTCTTTTTACTTGCATCCCTACCACAGAAGCTGTCCCCACAGTATGGATGATAGACCACGTTTTGGCAGATAGGACCGACCTGACCAATGACCACATCTGTTTGCTTTTGGACTTGTGCCTCACAGACTTCCAAGTTAACCAAGCTTTCTACAGGCAGAAGCATGGATTTGCGATGGGTTCCCCTGTGTCTCCCACAGTGGCAAACTTGTACATAGAAGAAGTGGAAAGCAGAACTCTACACTCATATATGGGAACAAAACCCAGTCACTGGCTCACATACGTAGATGACACATGGGTCAAAATAATGAGCAAGGATATCAACACGTTCCCAGACCACATTGACTTAGTGGACAGAAGCATCAAGTTCACCCAGGAAGATGTGAAAGATGACAGCCTTGCCTTCACATCATGAAAGAAAGAAAACTCAACATAGAAGTCTAAAGGAAACCCCCCCACACACACTGACTAGCACCTCAGTTTTGACTCCACCCTCTGAAACACAAACTTGCGTCATCAACCCACCGGACATGAGCAGATTAACACCACCAACAGAGGGAAGATGAAAGAACAGGAAAATACTGTAACCTTTAAATAATGGTCTGTAATACCATGTCACAAAAAACAAGAAAATCAGAAAAAAATATTATTTATAAAGTCATATATATAAGAGGCATTATGCTAACTTTATATAGGCTTAGGGTAACTAAGTACGAAACAAAGTTCAGGAAAATACTTCCTTAAAGTCTACATCTGTAATATGACTGTTTCATCAAGCAGTTAACATTCTTTGAGCTCAGGAAACAGGACATTCCTAGAAAGTGATAAGGTTGTAGAGAGTTCAGGCTGTATCAACATGAGCAAGTACATCTATCATAGAGCTGGAGATTTTTAATCTGCAAAAGTTTTTATTTCCATATTTACTTGGTCATGCAATTTTTTTCTCTCCATAGGACAAATTATTCTGTTTGCTGAAATAAAAATCTTTGTTTTACACCCAATGTTGGGAGCTGGAGAAAATCCCATCTTTCTCCAGCAGAGTCCGCCGTGGATCCTCTGAGGGAGCCTCCTGCACAGCTGCAGCTCATCAAGATCATCAGAGGATCCACTATATAAGCTGTCTTCAGACCTTGCCTCAACGGCGCAGTGTTGTTCCAGTTGGTCAGCGCTAAAGCATTGATCTCAGTGATTATTTCCATGACTCTAATCCCTAGTTGGATTCTAACCTCTGTTTCTGTGCCTCTAGGAAACTCGTGCTTCCTCCGTGAAAGCTCTGGAAGAGCTAACCTGCCGAGCCGACCCTCAGAGCCAAACCCTGAAGATTCTCAGACAACCTCCAAGCAGCTCTGGGCTAGAGCTGGGAAACCAAGGCCAAGGTCTGCTCAAGCTAGACGTGAGACGCTGAAGCAGCTAACGGACTCTGCTACTAAATCCTTCTCCAGAACCCACAGTGACTCTCCCAAAGAGAACCTCAAGAACCCTCAAGGTACTATCTGTGCACCATTGGAAACCAAACCCCGTCAACAGTCCTTAACTGTGCTGTCTCTCACGCAGACTCCGGTGAAACCAGAATCCAGGCCCGAACCAGCCTTCTGCATATTCAGTGTGATTGTGCTAATAAACTTGTTGAACTTTTCATCCTGTGTCCGTCAGTGGTGTTCTGCATCTTTGGGTCTCCATTAGAGAACCGATCATGACACCCAAAAAGCACTTTATCATGAAAGGATAAAACTGCTTACTTTTAATAGTTTAAATAACTAACCTTTAAACAGTAACCATCATATGTACCTTTAATGTGTGAATATAAAATGTGGTAACAACAAAAATCTTTTTTTATAGAAGATACAAAGCAATATTTTAAACTTTTCAGTACATGATAAACAATAACATGGTAACAGATTATACCTCTGCTTTAATCTGGTTTAAACAGTCAATTGCACGTCAAGAAATTATAAAAACCTACAGAGAAAAAAAAACACAATTCCTTATGGATGTGAGTAAACCATAGCATATTAGTTTGTGCATTTTTATATTATACAGACTTTTCTTGTTTCTGTGTACAGATCTTGGTTCTAATTGCTTTGTCACATAGTCCGTCGAAACCTCAAAACAATTTACATCAAGTGCAAGTCAATAGCTCCTTTTCCACTGCAGAGTCTTTTAATTATAACTGGAGGTTCCGAAAGCCTTCCACTCATATTTAAATATTTTTACCCAAGTCATTTCAATCTCCAGGTCAACACGTCCAAAGATGAAAGGTCCTGGTGTGGTGTGGGACTTTCAGATTATTCTGGATTGTTAAACTGTTATAGGTAATGTGCTGAACAACAGGGACTGACTGATTGATCAAGCCTTTTAGCAGTGAAGCTGAAAATTTTAGTGTTCAAAACTGTTCAAAATTTGAACAGTTTGATTTTTTACAATCTCTGTGATTAAAAAAATAAATGTTTTATGATTATCTTAAGAGGTGAGAAAAGTAAATAGGTATCAGTTTCTTTCCAAAGGGCACAATTGTTTTTCTTTCTGGGCTTGCAGCCAGGTAGCCTCACCTGCTCTCAGATGACCAGACACAAAGAGAACACCTAATCTTACAAAGGTTCTGTGAAATCAGTGAAGGAAAAAAATCACTGATTGCTCATCTTTGACAGTTTCACCACCTGTAACACCCACTAGAGTTTCTTGAGGATTTTAATAAAGAGATGAAGTAATACTTTCGTGGTTGCTATGGGGTAGAAGTTATGTTGGAGGTTTAGTTTCCTAGAAATGCCACTGACTTAAATAGAGTAATATTTTCTTCACATGCCCATGCATAATTTGGCTGATTTTAACATTTACTTACTGCCTTTTAGAATAGTGGAAACTGAAAGAAATAACCCCCTGGTGTTTAAATTCTGGGACGTTCAGAGGAAAAGTGTGAAATGCTAAAGACAGCTGTCCACATTATTTTCCACTGCTGTTTATTTACTTTATAATGCATTGTTGTAAAGACATAATTCCAGACAATTTTGACTTCTGAGTGTCACTTTGTTGTCCCACTATGGAGAGGCGGTTAGTTTACCCTGTGATTTACCTTTTACTCTTAGGAAAGTGTGGGGTTCACACTTCTCAGAGGACACTTAAGTAATTATTTTAATTTTTACTAAGTTATTTTTTTCTTTTTATGTAATCCTTTCTCTTGCTTAATTTTGAAAAACTTTGAGAATCAGTTTTTATGTACTATAAAAATTTAAGATGAAATTGTCAAAAATCATATCACATGTCATACTGCCTATGACCATTTTGTGTGCAGCTTGTAACTATGCACAGACTTATGAGTAAGACTGTGAAAGAACCCCATCTCAGCATCTCATACCAGAGTGGAACTCCAGACCATGTTCTGCAAAAAAAAAAAAGAGGAAGAAGGGAGAGATTTTTTTAGATAACTTTTAAGGATTTCAGTGAGTTTTATTACCTCCATCCAGAAGACAGAAAAAAGATGCACTGACCTGTGGAAAAATGCAGGGGTAGTGGTTTGATTTACTTGTAAAAACTGCTCTGATGTACCAAAGGTAGTTTTTGTGGGTTCTATGTAGGTCATTGTCGGTGAAGTTTCAGACACGGTTGTGCTGATTCTGCCTTTGCAGTCATAAATAGGCTGCCCTAATAAATGAAAAAAAATAAAATAAAAAAATTAAGCACAACTCTGCAAATGTTAAAAATGGTTGAAATTTACAAAACAGGATAAAAGTATGTTAGATTTCACTCAGAACCCTTGTTTATAAAAGTTTATATAGATATTTTTCTTTTGCAGGAATTTAAGAACTGTATCCTCAGTTCATTCAGTGTTGTTTTCAATATAAAAAAAATGTCAATTACTGTAAATAAAAATTATTTATTGTATTATAAAAAGTACTGTCCAGAAATTATCCTCATGTCATGGTTCTGCCCTTTGTTGACTTCCGTGTGTCTTTTACACTGCAATTCTGTGTTTCCTTGGTCATTGGGTTCTTTTCCCATTTTGTATCATTGTAGTTGTTTCCTAGGAAGTTTGTGTTTTTTGTGTTACGCTCTGTTGCCCCCTTGTGCTAGCCTCCTTTCCCTTGTATTCTAGTTGTTTCCATCCCCACCTGCAACCCATTAGCTAATTAGCCCAGTCTTTGTTCTGTCTCCCATATATACTTCCTCCTGTGCAGTTCCTCAGTGCTGGTTTCTTTCATTTACCTCACTCCTCATGTGTGTTTCTCCTTGGCCTCTCCTTGTTTTTGGTTTTCTGTCTATTATTTTGGGATCTCTGCCTCCTACTACTCTGCATTTGTATCCTCAACAACATCCACCATCCTTGACACACCATGTTTTCTGTTCGTTTTCATGAGAAATTGATAAATAATCAATTCTCATAACAGGGTCTGAATCTAACTAGTTATTATTCAACAATTAAAGCAACATGCTAAAACAGAGTATGAAACACTGGTCGTACCAGAAGTTTTAATACCTGGTAGATCAGACTTTCATCTTGAATTAGTGGACCATTTGCCAACTTAACATGTGTGGGTTTCAGTTCCTTTAGGCTTGTGTGATTCTTTTGCTTAACGTCACTCCTGTAGTTTTGTGACTTAATTCTGTTTGTCAAAATTTAGACGTCTGTGCGCTTTAGGTGCTTTATTCATTCAATGCACACAAAATGTAGATCTGTGGA